GCTTGCTTGCATTGTTGACGGTAAATGGGGGAAAACACGAGTCGCGAAGACAGTAGTTTGGAAGCGCTGGCACATGAACTTTGAAAAATTTGCAATATTGTTCATGTTCAGGCACTTATCGGTCTGTGTGGCGCTCCATATAAAAAATATACACTTTGGATCATTTCAAAGGGTGCAGAAACGATATTTATTTCTGTAAGTTTAATACGAATCTTTGTTTTACGCGAGAAAATATTATTTATATTCGGTACGGCGAATTCCTGGAGAGACCAGCCAGGGGTGAACAGAGGACGGTGTGTCAGGCTGCGGATACGCCTGCGGCGAGCGCTGTGTCGCAACAGAACCACTTCTGTCACCGCGTTGTGCAGTGTTAGCCAAGACACCTACACAACCATAAAGTTCAGCTGGTGCAAACTGAGAAAAAATACCAAGACAGCCATCGCGGTGGCGGAGCGACAACTGCGTAAACCGCAGCCCACAGCGGCGAGAGCGCAGGTTTGGAGGAGCGGAAACCGGTACCGGAAGACGGGCTTTCGGCTCGCCTCGACGCAAAGCATCGCTGCGATCACCGCTGACCTCAACTCGTCCGTGCGAGTTCATATAAACTCGGGCGCGTCGAGGTAAGCTGAACCCGCCATTCAACTCAGCCCGCCCCCGTCGCGTCCATGTACACGGGGCTAGACATGTTCCTCGTTCGGGAGCACGTCTCACAAGATCGAGCCCTGTTTCGACAAACTGTCTCCCCCTTTTCCAGCGCCGCCTTCCGTGCAGAAGAACCGTGCAGTTCCGGGGATAACGTCGCTTCCTCCGCCGAACCACTTTGCAGTTCCGGGTATGGCTACGTCTCCCCCTCCGAGCCCGAGAACTGGTCTCGCAGAAGAGTCCAAAAACACTATTTAAGGCCGTGCCGGCCCCATGTTAGAGGATTTTGCCCCAGCCGACGTTGTCGTGCTGGCCGGCCCTGTACAAACGACAACCTGCTACAGTAAACGCTCCTTTTGTTGCTGTTTTCCAAACAGATTGCCTCCCTGTTTCACCTTCGGGCTAAGGCTTCATCGAAGTCCGCTCGACGGCTCGCCGCTCTTCGCCACCGCTACCATCGCGACAGAGCAAATTCATAACAGTACATAAAGTTGTATTAGTAAAACGTCCGACGGTGAAGGCGTCTTCCTCCGGGAAAAACTCACGAAGACGGCTGTGATTATTCTCGCGAAGCAACGGACCGGGCTTTGCTTCGCCACCAAGAACCTGATCCGTACCGTATACTCACTTCGGACGAAAATACACTGTTACCATATAGCCAAGCAACGCATGATCATTAGATTTTGTCTTAGAGCATTATATTACCAATAACTTGCTAAAACTGAAAGCGTCGCTACCATTCAGATTAATTATACAATTTAAGTAATGCTATTAGATTTGAAGGTACCACGTTCCGGGGCTTGAAGTTTGACGTCAAGTTTGTTGTAGCCTGTTATAATACACAGCACATTTTTTTACATTTACCGGGACTGAAGAAGGTCGTATAAGTGGACCTAGACTACCAAATTATAATTTAACTGCAATGTCATCAGCTACATACTAAAATTTATTTCTTTCTGCGGGGGAAAGATAACAGTGAGGTCAAACCTTGCTAAGAAAAATTTGGTAGATTTCACGTACCTTAAGAATCGACGTTGCGCGAAGCATGTGGAGGGAAGGTGATTGGGTCGCATTTTTTTTTGTTGAGCGACACGTCACGAAATGACGCTAACTATGTGTACAAATCTCGCACTCACAGCCAGTTGTTTGCACTTGCTAATACGCATGTTCCAGTTGGCATCGTTGCGCAACACCGTAAGCTGATATGGAGCACTGATGCTCGCGAGGATGCTGGCCCTGGACACGGCTACATAAATCAACTTCATCTCATAGCACCTAACCACAATTGACGTTCACCCGACGTGACAGTTGTATCAGAGGAGTACATATGTGATGTTTCTAAAATAGGGTAGGCAGCACTGGAACCATTATGGACGTTTCACGAAGATTGGCGTCTATTTTAAAAGTAGTTCCGAGACCTGGCGTAGCTCTGTGATAAAATGCTTCGATGCCATACAGAATGCTTAAGTTTGGTTCCAGCTGGGATCCTGACATTTATTTTTTGCCATTCGTGGTGTCGACTTACCAACGTCAGGTATTTCTGAATGCTGGCGCGTTACAATTGTCCATGTGTGTTCCCGTCGTTCCTCAGTAGATACTAAGTGTGAATTGATTTGTGGAGTTTAATTTAAAGTCCAAAAACCACCATATGCTTATGAGAAACTCCATAGTGGATGGAGGGCTCCGGAAATTTCGACCACCTGCGGATCTTTAACGTGCACCCAAATCTGAGCACACGGGCCTACAACATTTCCGCCTCCATTGGAAAGGCAGCAACCACAGCCAGGATTCGATCCCGCGACCTGCGGGTCAGCAGCCGAGTACCTTAGCCACTAGACCACCGCGGCGGGGCCAGCAGCAGAAATGTTTTTCAATAGGAGGTGGCAGCTTGTTTTGCTGCAGAGCGAAACTAGCTCTCTCCTAGTTTTGCTGCTAGTTTGCTGCAAAACAGCTTTACTGGCTAGTTTTGCTGCAGATCAAAACTAGTGAATAATATACGAGGTTTACTGTCTCAAAAAATCGATATGATTATGAGAGACGTCGTAGTAGAGGGCTACGAAAATTTCGACCACCTGGGGTTCTTTAACGTGCACCCAAATCTGAGCACACGGGTCTACAACGTTTCCGCCCCCATCGAAAATGCAGCCGCCTCAGCCACGATTCGATGCCCCGACCTGCGGGTCGGCAGCCAAGTACCTTAGCCACTAGACCGCGGTGGCGGGGCACATGCCAAGTGTCCATCACCTGTGGTACAAACACGCATATTAGTGGCACATGCTCGCCCCTGGGTATGGGCCACTGCCTGGCACGAAACGTCTGACGATGTACGCGACGGGAATGTGACGTTCAAAGTTCGAGAAGCGCGTCATATTCGTCAAGCTTCCTTACGATACAATGCTAATTCTGGTTGACGCCAAGTTAAGGGCGTGATCACGAGAGCACCCAAACGTAAGCGGCTCAATAGATACGCTCAAAGTCGCCAAAGTTCACTAAGAAATGCATCGCATTAAAAAACAATGACGTCGAAAAACGTTTTAAACTCCTCGACCACTTACGTTTGTGGCTCTGACGCAGTTTAACTTTCTTACGTTTACGCGTGAAAGCTATATTGGCGTCACGTTTTTGTGACGTAACACATAGGAAGTATGACGACGTGACGTCCCGGCCAAGCCAAGTGGCGAGAAAAATTGTAAATATCTTCAAGCCTAAGAAAGAACAAAAAATGTTCTAGTCCGGGTGAAAGCTGTACAAACTATGGAGCATTAAATTCGGCGATGTATCACTGTGTTTTTTTATTTCCTCTTAACGCGACAGCGCTAAAAAAAAGCTCGTTTCGCAGAAATTCCGGTTTCGGCGTTGGCATCGTTGGTTGTGAGCGAAAAATAATTTTAAGCGTGACAGAAAAATCGAGAACGATGTAAATAAAATACATAAATGATAAAAGTTGCTGAAGCATAGTGAGACCTGAACCAAGGTTGTTTTGGTTCGTGTATTTGCGTGGGTTCGGGTATTTGCGTGGCAAGCGGATGTTTTACCACACGGCCATGCTTTTTTTTTTCTTTTTTACAGCAAAAGCTGTCCTGAGATCAAAATTCTGGTCACGCGCTGCCGTAACCAGTCGTCGCACAATGCGAATAGCGTAACGAGTGGCTCATCTAATGCTCCAACCCATTACAAAAGCTTGTTCTTGTTCACCTATTAACTGTGGCGCATACCCACTTCAGACCCAATTCCTCATCGCCATCAGCCACTGCGCGAACAATTGCCGCAAAATTCCTTGCAAGTGTTTAGCGGATACCACGCTTCTCAGAAGAGTGCCAAAAAATATCAGCGAATGCAGGCCTACTACGCAAAAATTTTATTATTAATGCCGTAGTGGGTATCTACCAAATGTGCTTGTAGCAGTTATCCAATGAGTGTTTAGAAAAAGATCTGAAAGGCTGCTGTTCTAGCTTTCGTTGTGACTGAGCTGCGCCATCCTCGCAGGCCTAATTGGACAACTTCGGGGGCGACACGCTCTCGAAGGGGGCGTTTCGCTGCCGCTTCATTGTGGCTCGGACACGCAAAGTTACCCATTGGCGACTCTGTAGGTCGAAACCTACAGACTGCTAAACTTGTGCGTAGCAAACGTGTGACATGCGTGAAGCCAACGCTAGACGTCAGACGCCGCGTAACGCCAATGTGCGAGATGACACGACGACGACAGTTGAAGCCCTTTACCATCAAGAGGCTGCAGTTCAACGCGCTGCCCTCATCTTCAATGACAAGCTACGTCGAAATAGATATGTAGGTCATTGCTCCTACGATGCGAAATTCATGGCACTAAATAAAAAATTATATTACGTTGTCATAAAAATCCATCTGTAATGATTAATATTACAGTTTTCAATGTGTACTCACTATTAAATTTCACGGTTCAAATACGTTACCACTAAACATTTTCACTTTCTTGCGGATGAGACGAGAACTAAGTGACAACTGTCACGACAGCAGTCGCAGGACAATCGTACTTGTTTTTCTGGACGACTTCACTATGATGTTTGTCCAGACTTATGATAGATGCCAGACACTTTTTTTTTCTGTTTTGTCTGATAGATATCCTAGTGATCAAAATGTGAAACGTCTCTTTGCGACATTTACTATAACCGTCTTTAAAGTAAAACGGGGATGTTATGATGTCTTTGAAAGCGCCAACATTGTGTTCTGCGATGATAAAAGCAAACAGTCGAGCTTATTCTGTCGACGTCAGCACCGCGAATGTTCTCCGCTTTGACTGAAACAGCACACTTAAATAAGGTCCTCACCGTAGCTGCATAATCCTGGCATCTTCTGCACCTGAGTAGTGCACCTCTGCTATAATGACATTTCTGAAAAATTACAGCGTGCAAATCCGTACGCTATTGTTGCTACTGGCAGGTGTCGTGGCAGGTAAGCACTTATTACATCCTGTAGGAGTATTGCCCACAATTTAAATTTTAGACTACATATTTTACAGGAATTTATGTTTCTTTTGCTGCTCGAGAAAAATTTTGCCTTTTACTTGCATGGCACCCAATATACTGCCCTAATTAAACTTCATAGCCAAGGCTGCATTAACATGCAGTTCCGGTGTTCACTGAAGTTTCACTTTGTTAGCATGTAGCACTGCAAAGTGCATCATACTAGATTACGTGGAACCTGCCTCCAGTTCCATTGACAAAACACGTAGTTCATTCGCTAGCATGCGTGACACTGTCCACCTATTTCATATACTTATGTTCTTATTACTGTATTCATAACCCCAGAAAAAAAGAAAACTTGACAACTTCTTTTTTTGTTAGAGCTTGGCTACAATGCATCTTCAAAAGAAGGCAGCACGTGACGGTGAAAAGCAAAGAACACCATTGGAAAGGATTACAATATACTAAACCAATCGTTCATGCTGGTAACACTCTAACATACCAGTGCCTAATGCTTGCCGAAATAGTATAAGCATTATGGCACTTCCCTTGATTTGTAGACAATCATCTTGAAAGTATGCTACAGCCGATTGATGCCCCGTAGAGCTTTGTACGTAATTGAGCAAGGCGATTGGTGGTCACGTTATCTTGAATGACAATTAAGATAGTAAAGGAACTGACAACGATACCAATCAAAGTATGTGGAATGTTTAGAAGTAATTGTAATGGAATGCTGAAGAAAGAGAATTGAAAGAAAAGGTGACTTGCTGATGGCACGGACCAAACCTGTGACTTTAAAATAACGCGTTCGATGCACTAACCCACAGCGCTCACTTCCAACTGATTTATTCATAGCTCGAAGGCTTCAATATATACAGGACCCATTGTGCGCACACACACACCGAAGAAGGCCAACAGCATACATTATCAAAAACGTGCAGCTAATCAATATTATAGGCTTAGAGCGATAAACTGAAGTTCGCTTGGTAATGACGAAATTGAAGGGGCGCTTACACAGTGATCTTTATTTTTTTTCAATAAAAAAGGCCTCTAACACTTCACGTGCAGTTTTACTTGCGCTTCTGTCCAGAATCTTCGTCTCGGAAAATCGTGCGTCACACCCACACAAGATGTGATGTGTGCGACTTTTTGCGGTCTCACGTTACCACAGGCAACGCCTTTTCAGTGGATGTTGTAGATCTGTATTATTCCGTGCCGCATGACAAGCTTCTAGCCTCTGTACAATCCTGTATAGAAGAGAATGGTGACATAGATTTTATCAATGACGCGGGCGTTAATGTAGACAATTTTTTATCGCTTTTAGAATTTTATCGGAATGCAACTTTTATTATGTTTAACGAAAAGCCCTTTCTTGAGCGGCAAGGAATCTGCATTGGTTCCTGTGTCGCCCCGGTCCTTTGCAACATTTTTTAGCGGATTTAGATAGGAATTTGGACAATGCTTTTAAAGAGAGAAGGTTTTAAAGGTTTTTAGGTACGTTGACGATTTTTTAATTCTTTTAGATAAACAGGGTGACCTTACATCCCCTGATTTTATTTTAAACGTTTTTATAAGACTAGGACGAGGGCTTTCCTTTACTGTCGAATTGCCTCAAGAAGCTTGTCTGCAGTTTTTAGACTTAAGCCTCACGTGGAACGATGGGCATCTTTGCTGGTATTATCATCCTCGTGTTGAGAAGCAGCTGTTGCCGTACGATTCTGCCATCTCAAATATTGTGAAAAGGGGCGTTGCGTCTCTTTGCTTAGAATCAGCGCTAAAAAGGTCGTGCCCACACAGCATGAAACTTAGTTTCCTTAATCAGGTAAGCCGACTAGAGGCTGCTGGATTCCCTCGATTGGTCATTACGGCCGTTGCTGAATCACTTCTGCAGAAGTTTAAACGTGGAACACGGGAAGCGATGACTGCTACCCAGCCCTTAAGGATTAGGCCACAAGTTGTGTCATACATCCATAAGGTCTCGCACAACCTTAAGAAAGTCGCGGCAAGGCACGGCGTACCAATGGTGTTTTCCGCACCAGAAAAAATTGGAAGACTGTGCCAACGTGTGTGCGATAGAAAGAAGCGCGGCTGTCAGAAGAAACATAAAAGGGCCTTCGTTACGTGTTCCATGGGGGTTGTGTACTCCATACCCTTATCTTGCGGAAAAGTGAACATGGGCCAAACAGAACGGTGTATTATTGACCGATTAAGGGAACACGCCCAAAAATTAACGAAAAGAGATGACAAGTATGCGCACCTGGTTGCGCATGTCATCTCGTGTGGGTGTGACGCACAATTTTCCGAGACAAAGATTCTGGGCAGAAGCGCAAGTAAAACTGCACGTGAAGTGTTAGAGGCCTTTTTCGTTGAAAAAAAATAAAGATCACTGTGTAAGCGCCCCTTCAATTTCGTTGTAACCAAGCGAACTTCAGTTTATCGCTCTAAGGCTATGATATTGTTTAGCTGTACGTTTTTGATAATGTATGCTATTTCCGGAGCCCTCCACTACGGCGTCTCTCATAATCATATGGTGGTTTTGGGACGTTAAACCCCACAAATCAATCATTTGATAATGTATGCTGTTGGCCTTCCTTGGTGTGTGTGCGCACAATGTGTCCTGTATATATTGAAGCCTTCGAGCTATGAATAAATCAGTTGGAAGTGAGCGCTGTGGGTTTGATGCACGGGTGTGTGCGTGTGTGAGTGATCGTGTCAAGTTTTCGCGCTTGAATTAACTTTTCGGAATGCTCTACCAACTAGCCCAACAACAAGTTATCTTAGATGCACTAACACTGAGCTACAGTGGTGGTCAACGTTTTGTCTATTTTTGGGGGTGTATATGTGTATTGAAACCCGGAAAAGCTAGTCAGCGCTGCTGTAGCCATGATGGCGAGACTAATGATAGACCATATACAATCAGTGAAAAGAGAAAGCTTTAAAATTTGAAAAATTACACCGTCTCCCACTAAAGGGAGATGCGAAGTAGCGGGCGCTAATGCTTAGACTGGCGGTGACACTGACGCTGGCTCTCATCGCAGCGTCGTGAAGGAGAGAAATTCCGGGAAGCTCAAAGCACGCATGCAGTGATGGTCCGCGGTTACCTAGTGGAGCATGTCAATCGCTGGTAATGACAACGAGAGACAGAAGTCGAGGAGGGTGGTGATTTGGGCTTGTTGGTATGGTAGCATAATAATATATGGTAGCGCACACAAAGAACATGCAGAAGGCACAATCTGTGTTGTCTTGAATGTGCCTTCTCTAGTCCATGTCCTTTGTCTGCGCTACCATATAATATCGAAAGATAGAAGACTCTGATGAAACACAGAGACCATCAGTTTTAGTTTACACGCAAGCTGCGAATTTTTATTGTTCAACAAAGCACAGGAGAAATCTCCCGCCGGCAGTACCTTGGAGGTTAAGATCCCGTGCCGATATATACAATGATCGATATGTGGGGTTTAACGTCCCAAAACCACCATATGATTATGAGAGACGCCGTAGTGGAGGGCTCCGGAAATTTCGACCACCTGGGGTTCTTTAACGTGCACCCAAATCTGAGCACACGGGCCTACAACATTTCCGCCTCCATCGGAAATGCAGCCGCCGCAGCCTGGATTCGATCCCGCGACCTGCGGGTCAGCAGCCGAGTACCTTAGCCACTAGACCAACGTGGCGGGGCTGCCGATATATACAGGATGGTCAGTTAACGTTTGTGCCTCGTGAACAGTCGGTTTTTTCAATCAAGAAACTCGCTAGCGGACGCTGCCTGCGTCGGCGTTGCGCGTCGAGAGAAAAAGGGTGCGTAGGAGAGGAGAAAGGGCGGCGTAGGGCACGTGCATGCGCAATGGGGTTGTTTACGCCACTGGGAGGGATGCCTAAAAGAGAGAGACGGTGGAGTGAGCGTAGGCTTGCAGACTGCCTGCGTCGCCGTTGTGAGGTGAGAGAGAGGGAGAGGAGGGAATGTGCATGCGTAGTGGAGTTCGGACACCGCTGGATCCAACTCACTCATAAGATTCTTCACATCTGAAAACCTCGAACAAGAAGGAGCGACTTCGGGCAATGCTTCGACAAGTGGTCTTATCTTTTTCAAGGTTGCAGCTGTCTACCGTAGCGCATGTATATGCATGCTTCGTATTCTGATGTATTGTGCAGTAGATTCATAATAACTAGTTGCGTCATTCGTGGAATTTGGTCAGAACAATAGAACGCAGCCGTGAAGCTTTCTATACAAACAATACTGGCCGGCGCCGTACGAGAGCCCTTCAAGCTTGACCAGTTCTGCCACGGTCATAAGTGAGAAAAGGGAAAATGCGTTTAACACTATGTCTTGCAGGCGAAGAGATTTGTGTACATCTGCGTAGAGTAGCAGGCTAGAGCGCAATAGCTCAGGCCAACCTAGCTCTCTGGCTTCAAATATAGTTCTCACTCTCTCTTCTATAACGTCTCATGTTTTATTCCATGCATTTCCGCGAATGAATCTAAGTTTGAGCTTGTTTCTGTCTTGATTTTACCATGTCCTGTTTGCGCTGCCCAGTTGTCATAATGAGATTATACTAACTATTCTGCTTATCAACTATTCTACATTCAGCTTAATTGTGTACTATGTCGCAAGGAAACGTATCGACGCACTTAACCCTGTTTCCTCAATTTTCACGTCTTTGACCATTTATTCTCACGTCCTTGGTGTAGGCTTGCAGGAGAACATGGTCGTCTACCCCCGTCTCCTCGAAGAAAGAGGGGATGATGGTGCGATGGTTGTTAGCATTCACGATGGATTGGCCCTCAACTTACGAAAAGTATCCGTCACAGCGCCGACGCTTGTGGTTCATGAACATGAAAATGGGAAACCTATCGTTCGTTTCGTAAGTACAACATGGGAGACACAAATGTTTTCTCGTTTACGTGAGTAGCTCTTTACTGTTTTAGCTATTTCGCCAGTTTTAATAATGTTCGGTGTTTATTTGTGATTAGACGGAGTTTTACAGCAGCTTTCGTCCCAGCGTTCTGCAGTTCTCATTTTATTACTTTTTTAAATTAAACAAGAAAGGTAAACCTTATATGGTCATGAAATTTCACACCTTTGCTCAGGAGTAGAGAACCACGCTTCATGACCAAGCAACAGGTTATATGATTCGTACAGTGGTATCACAAAAATAAGTAGAATGTGGAGGAGAAAAAAAGTTTAAAGCAAAGATTACTAGTGTATTTCACGACGTCATAAAAAATGTGAGGAAGGAAACCAAAACGAGATTGAAACTTAATCCGTCCACTTGCAGCTATGAAGAAAAAATGCCGAAAATATGGTAACAGAAACGAACAAGTGAAGCTGAAAATAGAAGGATATCATAAGCGTGCTTCGTAATAAAGCATCGCAATAAATATGTCGAGTGTGCGCAGTCGGTTGTTTACAGAGTGTCCTTGTCATGTGGTCTTGTTTATGTGGGAACAACTGAAAGATGCATTATAGAAAGGCTAAAAGAGCACCACAATAAAGTGCAGAAGGGTACCGATGGACACTTGGCGATCCACTGTAAGGAGTGCTGTTGTGTGCCTTATTTCGATAACACTTGAGTGCTGTATCGGGACAGAGATTTGTTAACCCGTTTGATAGTAGAAGCGGCTGAAATGACACGCGATGATTTTAATTGTGTTGGTGCACCCTCTATCTCGCTCACTCGGAAAGAACTATGTTTTTTTGGATGGGGTGATAGACAATAACAGATAGTAATGTACGGGACTGGCACGTGTGCTTTTTGTTGTCGACCATTTTTTATTATTTTTCTCTTTTCACCCCCTTTATAAACTTTGACGTTTGCAGTAAGCGTTTAGTTGAAGGTAAGCGCTTGTGCTGTGTGTTCTTTGTAACAGTGGCTGCGCTTCCTAGCAAGATGGATCCTTACCAACTGGCCCGATACAATTGTTTATTGTTTATCATAAACGATTCTGGGTTGCCAGCATCTTTAACCAGTGCGCATCTGGCGGTGCAGATCTCAACCACGCACTTTCTTCTGCATGTCCCCCGAGATCCTCTTCGACAGGGTCACGAAACAAAGCTAACTCATAGAACACACTGACGCAAACGAATACCACGGCCGGATTGCCACTACAAGACACTTCGGTAGATGTATCAAGGTCGACTCGAAGCGGCAAGTGCGTAAGATCCGGCAAATAGGTTTGTCGTACTTGAACTGGTATTAGCCCCGGGAAGTTGGGTTGGCGCCACCTGGCGGGATGCCTAGATCATGGTGGCCTAGATGACGTCATGGCAAGGACGCTTCGACGCCTGCCATGGCGCGCCTATACATAGCATGCGCTCGCATCGTACGCTGTTCCGCTGTTGGCGATCGCTTAAACTTGACTCAAGCTTTATGCCTAGTTCACACGGAAACATCCGCTTTCTACAGCGACCGAAATTCCCCTGCCACCGAAACGCAGCGTCGTTCGCACTGGACGCGCCCCGCGCCGCCGAATAATCCATCTACTACGGGGCGAACGCGGGATGGATGCGCTGTCACCCGGTTGTTGTCGCGGCTTGAAACGCTACTACGTTATCCGGTGGTGTATACTTCGACGATTCTCGTACGCAGGAAGCAAGAAAAGACAGTACTGCTTACTTTGTTGGCAAGTGGATGTCTTGTAATGCAAGAAGAGCAGAAAAACCACCGACGCCAGCGGCGTTGGTGGATTTGTTTTGCTCTGCAAGACCGCAACAAGCTTGGTCACGCCAACAGCAAGCTTGGTCACCTCTTTCACGAAATACGGAGCCGAAGTAGGCACAGAGTAGGTTAAACTCCCGTTGGTTTCAACATTCAGTTACGTGCACTGCGGCATAACAAGTGAGTAGGGCTTGGCCGCCATTTTTCAAAATTCCTTGACTAGCGCTCCTACTGGTCCGCGGTGACCGATTCGGCGGCAGACGCCGCAAAAATCGGTCCGAGAGCGATCGGCGCGGAGAGGGCCCTTTTGGCGGAACTCGCCGCCGCCGAACCGGATTCGGAGCACTTTCGGCGGCCGGAATGCTCAGTGTGAACGCGGCCTTAGATCAATGATGAAAAAGCATCAATGATGCTCCAAGTCAAACGATGAAAAAGCTTTGTTCAGTACAATCGCGAACCGTTACCGCACTTCCCCGTTCACACTACGATCAGATTTTTGTTGTAGCGCTGCTGAATTCAAGGATGGGGTCGATTCTCGGCCATGGCAGCAACATCAAGAACATGCTTTTGCTTGGATACAAAATTATTCTACAGCGTGTTCCATACTGAAGTCATGGTTTTTACACATAAGGCAGCATATATACACGATTAGGTAGCTTTTTTTTAGCGAGTGCTTCCTCTCAGAGATATGTTCTCTTTTCTGGAAGGTGTAATATTTGTATCGAACACGTGCGCCTATTTGCAGCGGAGATTTTTTTTTTGTTTGTGTGCCAAGCTTTACGCGCAGTTGCGAAAACCCATGCAATATCGGGACTCAAAGTATCTCCTAAGCGCTTGGCCAAGAATACTATACCACAGCTACTGTATTTGTTTTTCCTTTGTACTCGCTCCCTCCTAATGTAGTTCCATTTTATGTTTCCGTCGCAGTTATTTCGAGGCTTCATTTCACTAAAAAACGAGTTGAGGTTAATTGCGAAATCTTGACGCAGCATCGTATTGCAACGATGCTGTTACACTCGTATAAGTACCGGTTTATATAGGCCACCCTTAAATCCATTTTCCTTGCGTACGTTTACTTCCGAGCTTCATTAACTTGGTATGTGATTACGACGCGCGAGACCAGACACCGACTCAGTGAGGCGAAGACCGTTCAATTACGTGGGCCACGTGGCTCAGAGCGCCATCTAAACTGTTCACAACGCTCATTTTGACTTTCAATCGTTTGCTTTGCAAACAATTGCTATCAATGGTACTCCCACGCAAATTAAACACTACCGCTAGTGACGTGACGTTTGATCGCAGCAGCGGTTAATGCAAATCGGAAATCGGCCACATAATTCCAAGTGACTGGCTGTTAAGAAGAAATATTTACGCAATCCATATACATTAACATCTCAGCATTTCGCTGAACATTTTGTGTGCGACCGTATTACTTGCTCGTTCAACATTATGAATATACTAAATTATTGTTCCCGGTAGATTCACCTAACGTCTTTTTATCAAAAAGCACAACACTGTCAAATCACCCAAATAATCTGCATAAAAACCACAATTTGCTTAGAGAATTTGAAAACATTCTAATTTTATTTGTAATTCTTCGGGACACATTTTCTAACCCCGCAGTCTACGCTAAGTTGTGATGAAGTTAGAATCATCAGCCTTTTAGCACTGGTTCCTTAGCGTAAGCGGTGAAAACAACGATTGACTTGCTGTAATACACCACCATTTTTACAGTGAATCTTCCGTTCGAAAGAGCGTTAGCCCATTCGATTATCGCAACTTTCTGCACCTAACTTTACTTTGCAGTGTAAACAGCCGTCTTCTATTCCTTGGTAGACTTGTATCGCAAGAATGAGCAGTGGTCACCACCGTATCGCCTAAACGCGGGCACACAGTGGACGCAGAAAAAGGTGATACTCTGCCTCGGAGCAAGCGAGTCCTTGCCGTGAGGTCACACTCGCCTAGACTGCCGCGCCGCCAGTGTTTGTTGTCAGGGCTAATAGCACGTTACAGTAAACAAGAAATAGTCAAGCAGACCGATGGAAGAGGAGAGAGAGAGCCCTAGCGCTCCGTTTCCTTGTGTCGGTCCGATCGGCCTTTATTTCTTCGTTTTGTACCGCTCGAAATGCGAAACTGCGATGTAGTACGGACGTCATGAAACCACACGAAACGTAATGCCCTCAACCGTAAATGTGGAATGCGCAACCTCGGGCACTTAAGCTATGTTTGACATGAAGATGTTTATGTATGAATGAAGGGGCACAGCTATAGTGAATGTCCCGCAAGGTTCAACGTGACCCGGGGTTAAGTCTCCCATGATGGAACGTGAACGCCTTGCCTTAACTCCGCCGCCTGGGCTTGCTGGACTGCCCACATTAGGATGCCCAGGCCTGAGCTGCGCAGAGTGGTTGCCCACCTCGACGATAGGGCATTTAGAGTAACCGTCATCATTCTCTATACTACACTCACAGAACATGTGTGAGTTGCCGGTGCCTCACGGCACAATTCGCACGTGTCGTCCTTGCTTGTCCAGGTATAGCCATTTTAGGTGGAAAGGGTCAGGAAAGGTGTCCGACTGTTAAAAATGAAATCAAATTGATCGTGAACAGACAACTGTGAGGTTTTTGAAAAGAATGACAAATGCAACAGGGTCGTTTCATTTCCAATGAAGGAAATGCCAACTCTTCGGAGGCATACAGAATTAGCAGTTGGCTTGGACAAGTGTCCAGTTCTTGAAGTGACAGGCGTGTACGCAAGTGGCTTTTAAGTGTTTGTCACACGTATACAGTCAAAACGGACACTTGCTGTAAAATCAGCACATGCTCTAACAATGATGTTTTTCTTCGTCTGCAGTACAGAGGCGATGATATCGACAGAAACCTTCATGAGGATGAAAAACAGCTGGCCACAGTAATGGTTAGCATAGTCAACAACGCTCTTCAACTGGTATGCATTCAGATTACTCCCATTCGTTCTTGTACATGTTATCCTTGCTGAGTCAAATCCCAATCATAAATGTTAACTGGTCACCTAAGGGGACCTGAAACACTTTTTGAGCAGCCATGAAATGTATTCACTAAAGGCGCTTATTGCGTCACGAATGAAGTACCATGACAATTTTTTTTGAATCCTGCCTGTACACGCCGAGTTAAAGATTTGTACGCTGCGATGGCACGCTCTTCTCTTGTCCTGACAAAAGTGCCGGAAGCAGAACAGAGACGAAAACATGGGGAGGAAAAAAAATACGTCAGACAAGCTTCGTGATTTTTATCACTTTCTGCTTTTTTCTCTCTTTCGAATGCGTGACTTTTCAGAGCGATCGCGCGCAAACGTGGGCAAGTCATGGCCTTCCACGGCCATCCCCGTAACGACCAAGCACGCCATGCTAATAACAGCAAATGGCTGATACTTGGCCTGTGACGCAGACATTTGCGAAACCCTATGGCGTCATTTGTCGAGAGAAGAGAAAGAGTTTTAGCTGATTTGATATTTTATTGTGAATGCGAGGCCACGTGGTGCGCTGTTATAATTGACTCGCGTGTTCTCGGGAGCTTCGACTACCGATCGGCAGCATTTCCTGATCATGCTCAAAAAGTGTTGCAGGGCCCTTTTAAGCGTTTGCTAATGAATTAAAACAATGATCAGTAGATTGGAATTATCACCCCACCCGAAAGCTGTCTGCTCTTATTGGGATATTGCAGTGACTCCGGGATCAGATACATTGTAAGACTTCTACGTCTCAAGTTAGTTTTAAGCGCTTCCGAGATCGGCGCACTTTTTATTAGGTGAAGTTGTTATAGTTTATCGGCTTTGATAAAGTGACTAGTGTTACTTAATCGCGTGATATTAGAAATAAAAAAAATTGGCAGACATTTAGGTGAATTGGGATAAAAGTTGCAAACCATTATACGTTACATATTTAGCCATAACTAGCTGCTTTTAAATAAGTTACCCAAAATGACGTGTGCCTCAATATAAGTACTAGAGATGTACAGAAAACCGTAATGCATGTGTGTTCGCGCGGTAATATTTTAGTACATGCATATATGATGGATTGTCACAGACACATTTTGCTATGTCTAGGATATGTTTTCATGCAGTGCATTAGCTTTTTAAATCTGATGCTTATTGTGACAAACTGTGGTACTTCTGTAAAACCATCTGATTTTAACTCATGTTTACTGCTGCGGTTGTGTATGCAATTTTGGTACGCACATATTTGCTTTTAAAATTTTTATGCGTATTTATTTTTCACAATTTTTACACATTTCTAATATAAATTATTGAATTCCGCCTTGCTATGTGCTTGTGCGCAGTTACATTACGGGTGACCAGTTCCCGGTCTAACTTAATTTTTTTAACGCACTTTTTTTTAGCAGAAAAGAACTGAATTCTCCACTTCATTATGTTATTGCCAACTCAGAAAAAGGTCACAAGGGCGACAGTCGGATGCTCCGTAGGTTAGGTATTCAGTCTAAAATATTGCTGTCATAACTTGACGACCAAAACAGACCTTTAGCACTTCATAGAGCGGTTGCTTCAACTTGTCACATAATAGATTGCCTGCACAGTTTTCTGACGAGCTCACCAAAACCGCCATTTCGTGAACCATCACGACGAATTACAAATTACCTCCTATTTCTGTCCTTTATACTCCAGTGAAAAAGTTTAACGATGTTGTGTCTTGTGACTAAATTACCTACGTTCGGCATTTAATAGTGCATTCAATTTTCATAGTGATATTTATCGACTTATATACCTTGCACTACTTAAGCGTTTATTTATCCACTCTCACACGTTCCATGAGAGACATGCAGTATAATTAAATAAACAGAAAAGTTCAGAGCCCTTTTACTACAGTTAAAATAGAAGCAAGTAGAGCCGGTGATTGCAGCGATGGCTTCACGTGGGTTTCGGGACTATTAGCGATTCTTTGCGCGCTGGCGCTTTGGTGTTTTTATTCTTCCAAGCGAATGACTAGTATACGTTCCACCGCGAGTCTAAAGGGCAAGTACTGATAACAGCACCTGCGCGATCTCTGCCTCACGAGACGAAGGGGGTACACTAATTGATGGGTAAGGCCACCGCCGAGCTTCGGGGGTTCGGGGGGGGGGGGGGGGGGCTCGTGGCAAGTGTGGCGGATATACGGAAGCGATTAGAACTTGTTAAGGGCGGCGTAAATTTGGCGTTCTGTCTAATACGCCGCCTTTTCAGCGAACTAAATCCGCCAGAACTTGGGCATACACTACTTCTGGATAAGAATAAGAATTATTCAACGCTTTAGCTTCGCCTTCAAGTGTAGACTGTAATAGCGTAATCTGGCCTTGTACGTATCGCCTTCTCAACTGCTACACCGCTTCGGTTATCGGTGCATGCCTCAACCGAGCCGTGATGAAACGGATGACAATGCGAGTGATGTCGGCCATTTCATAGATATAGCATTGAATGCCTATTGCAAGCACAGTTGTTAACTGCCCGCTACGCTATTATTACTCCTTTTGCGAATCAGCGAAGGGCCAACTACGCTTGCGTAGAGCAACACGCAAACCTGCGCACCTATTCTCTTTTCTGATGGTTCTACTGCTAATGACCAAATGTGTCTGAGCGTTCTGTAATGGGTGGGGATTTAAAGCACCCACTTGTGGCTCAGTTCGCATCTTTTGATACCCGGCGCGATTCGACGCTTCCACCACGCAATTTGTGATGCTTTAAGAATGCTCTTCACTACCTGGCATTATTATAGTGTTTTAAAAAAAAAAATCAGTTTCAACAAAACTTGTGGCTCTGTGTCAGAACACTTTGTTGTCACACAGGTGGCCTGGATTCGATGCTTAATCGGGATCGAAAACCTTTATTAAATAATTTATTCGCATACAATAATTTTTTGGCCACTGACAAAGTGATTTCTTGCTCACAACTAACTACACCCATGCAAATGCCAGAATTCCGACCAAACGAGCCCTTTATTGCTATCGCGTTAGATGTGTGCTATCGCTAAGTGTCTATGACTTGGAGCAAACGCCAAAAAGTTCTAGAAACATTGCTTAGAACAGTGTATGCAGTTCAATGTTGTCCCCGGAAGGAAAGACTGATTTCGTTCCTGAAATTCGAATGCACAAAACGCAGGAAGGTGTCGTTGGACCACGGCACAGGATTTCACCGGCACCGGAAATGGAAAGGTCAGAGGAAGGTCACGTTGCGCACGTGATAAACGAAATCGACGAGCAGCCAAACGACATGTTCGATGGCCTAGTTGCTAACAAAACGGGTAAGGACGTAAATTGCAGCCTACTTGCTTTATGACTGCTCACAACATTACCTCACTTCACTGAAAGGAGAAATGCAGTGACATAGATAACAGAGAACTTTTCTTGTTTAAAACAAAAAGTAATGCAAAATCCAGGCAAACCATCAAAAACAAAAGCTGGTACCAAAATTTTTTTCATTCAAAAGAATTCCGTTTCCCGTCCTAATCTTAACTGGGCTACTAATGAGATTAGTACTGGAATGTTTACAGCGAAAGCTGTATATGACTAGGAGAAACGAAAAACTGTTCCGCATCGGCGTCACGAGTTTTCTCAATTGGCTGTGCCGTTAGTTATGTCGTTCTCAGCGTCATACCTAAGCACGCACGCCATTGGCTGCGTTGTGTGTGGCATCATGCACTCCGTCGCAGGCGGGGCGCGGAGCACGCGTACGTTCTAGTGAGACCTTCCACATGGGCAAGCCATGGGCAACTCTAGAAGAACGCCGGCAGTGGAAACGTAAGAGAGCTCGCATTCGTCGGAGCGATGGTGCAGTCCGGGCACAAAAACAGGCCTGGGAGGCCGAGTAACTGAAGGAATTGCGTACCGATAATCCGGCAGCCTTTCAAGTCATGCTAAATCGCGAACGGGCATGCAAGCGTCTGCGGGGGAGGATCCTGCAAACCACGCGGCCGAGTTAACTCGCGATGGCAAACGCTTGCAACAATGCCGAGCCGAACACATTCCGTTGCAAGCAAGACAGCGTCGACGTAATGCTTTCGTGAGCTCGTTCCCCGCGACAAACAACCGCTTCCGGTGGGGGGTTTTTCCAGAGGCATTTTAGCTTCGGCTGCGACATCTGACCGCCTGTGGTTAGAGAAAAACCACTGTAATTAACGCATTTCCAAACTCATTTAACCGCTCATTACACTCCTCTGTCACCGTGATCATGTGAAGCACATTGAGTGGCATGTGAAATAGGTACTGTGGTGAAACCAAGTCAAACATGTCTGACCTCGTTAACAAGCATGAACATGTAATCAATAATTTTTAAAGGCTTCAGGGCAGCGTCGGGTAGAACCGACTGCTAAACACTGGGGCCGCAATTGTCAGCTTTCGCTGGTTAACAATTTGTACGGAGTGCTTGGGCGGTAGTTTAACAATTTTCACTGAAGCTTCACTGACTTCCTAATGAATTTTCTAAGAAGTTTTTCCCTAATTTTGTGGCCATGTCGGTATTATAGGTGGATAGATTGGATGTTACTGTTATATTCTCTTACTAATTATACCTTAGATGATATTGATTAGTTCACTTGCCTAAAACTAATGAAAGACGATCATACTTAGACTGCGTACTATAGTGAATCCCAATAAATCTACCGGTAATTTTTATCAGCCTCCCTGTCACGATTATACACAATCATTTTACTAACTTTAAACACATGTAATGCGTTACGTAATAGCTGCCGCTTTCCAACATAATAAAATGTTCTTTTGACGAAACAACTAAACACGAAGCAGTAGACAATTATATCGGGCCAGTTGGTAGGAACATATCTTGGTAGGAAGCACACAACTTTACTACTTTTACACAGGAACACGAGACACGCACTTGTGCCTCGTGTTCCTGATGTAAAAGTTGTGCGCTTCCTAATAAGACAAAGCAGTAGTCATCCTCCGGAAATTATGGCATTATGCCCCCAAACGATGTATTTTTTCATCTTGCATGTAACTGCATCATGCTATAGTACAAAGAAAGAACAAACGCTATATATAGCGCTATATATAGAGTACAAAAGAACACGTGCTATATATAGCGTTTGTTCTTTTCCCTTCCATTGTACAATTTTCTTCGTTTTTTTTCTAGATGCAGTTTCTTTTTATGCTTTATGATAAATTTTCTCTTACTCAATGCCCCTCGGAGCATGTAGGGTAAGAAGAATAAATAAGTAAAAAATATTTATTTTTTTGGTAAAAAAGCGAGACAAAGACATTAAAAATCGTTCCGTAACAACAAATGCATGTTTCTTAACATTTTACTGCAGGACCAATGCTAAGTATTCACTGTTGTCATGACATATATAGTGGATTGTTCCTGCATCTACCCTTTTCAGACAAAGCCTCGCTGCTCGCAGAGAGACAATACAACTATTACCAAACGGTTCCAGCGGAAGTCACTGTAGAGCTGTTCGTAATCTCGGATAAGATCCATCAGCAGCGTTTCACTCAGACGCAACGCCTGCTCAGCTACATGTGCGTCATGGTTAACAGCGTGAGTAACGTCGATTTGTTAATGAGCTTGATTGTTTAGTCGCACGAACACCGAGTGTCTCACGTTTAAGTTATACGCAATAGTGGTCCAGCGCCAACTTCCTATTTTCCGAAAATTCAGGAAAAAAGTGTTCCAAAAATTTCAACTGGCAGTAATCCATGGTCTTAGTCGAAGAGTTATACTGGATACATATGAAACTGGATGATTACTTCACTCATGATAGAAGGTAATTAACTGCCAGATTGATCAATTAAATTTGAATGAACCAGGTGCCACAGCGGTTTTAGCCGGTGTCTTCTTACGGTGGCTAAGACCACTGTGGCACCTGGCGGAACAGGCCTAAACCGTGCGCATCTTTATGTGGCCTCTGAGATACAGCTTCACGTTGCCACAAAGCACAAAGTTAACCCATGCCACACAATTCGCGACGTGCCAGTAGTACACGACTACCAGAAAAAGAAGTCAAGGATTAGAGTGACTATTTTAGTTGCATTGGCTGTATTCTTGCCGTTTCACTGCGTCTGGTGGCCACACCGTTCACCACGTCATCTGATATGACGTCAGAGCAAGAGTCAGTGAAACCGCGTTGCGACTATGTTTCTAGTTGGAAGCTGCAGTGTTGTGTGGGTGCGTGTTCTACTCAGTCCGCGCTCAGTCGCGCTGTCCAAACTCGGAGGAAAAGCCGGCGTTGCATCGTATGTATAGAAAAGGCGGTTCAGTGGTATCTGCCGGTGGACATGCAAAGTGAGTTGGAGAGACTGAAAGAAGCCATGCTTCGTGGCCGGAACGAAGAGGAGGTAGCCAGTTGAGAAGACAGATGAGAGACGAGTGGCACACATCGAGAAGTGTGACCACGCAAATAACCAAGCTAAATAAAATAACCATGCCTCTCGCTACTCACACTCACGCATAACTGAGCTACATCACGGACAATTTTTTACAAAGGGTGCATGAATTGTGGATTACATTAGCTGAAAAGCAATCTTGTTTTCTAAACGCAATTGCGGGTTGCAATGACAGACGTTAGAAACGGCACGCACAGGGTCACACTCATATCTGCACACGACACCGCTGATGCTTAAGGTGCTGCGTCCCGGATAAGCTGAAAACGTGTCCGACATGTTTACACTGAGATCTTTATAGAACCTTCAAACATCTTTCTTATTTCAGGCCAACTTGCGCCTGCAAGACACGAGTGCCCCAAGGATAAAACTCCTTCTGGTCGGACTCGAGAGAGTTCATGTGAGTGTCATCTATTTGTACGAATTGCCGCTATAAAATCAAGTTCCCTCCCATGAAGGCCACAGCTTGAAAGAGCACTGGCGCCTAGATCACTATGTTCGAAGTGTGAGTGCTAATTATGGGGCTCTTAATTGCACTATCTCCTCAAGCAGAAAGTAAGAGAGGCAGAGAAGATGCTATGAAGGTTAGACGAACAAAAATCATGCAACTCAGGCAAGTTGTCGCTTCGATAGACGGATGCATCTGTCTTGTCATCCTTGGCGTGTTAGTTTGTAGCGGGTTAGTCTCATCATGGTTCATGTCGCTTAGTTAGTGTCACTGCCCGTAAAATTATTAAATTTTATATGTACACTCATGCAAAATAGTGTAGCTTGAACAATAAGTTTACGTGAGCTCCCGTTAACTGCTTTGTTACGGAAACAGCACAGCTGCAGTAACAATATTAGAATGCTACGTTCAGACCTTCAGGCGCGGCCGAAGAGCTGCCTATGACGGCTTCTCACGAGAGGAAAATCGAGGTGAACAGTTAAAACGAACGCATTTTCTTGGCTGCAGTCAAAGCGAACACGTTTTCTTGGACGAGTTGACGAAAGCGCGCACCCAAATCACCTCCAAAAGAAAGCCGTGTCCGGAAATCACGTGATCTCTTGCCCTGTAACTGACAACCACCTGAGAAGCTATTCGCAGTAGCGGTATAAAAGGGTGAATCACCGCTGCAGACATTTCAGCCCTCCGTCATCACAAACCCTCGCCCTCGCAGGAGGAACACTTTAGTGTTCTTATCTCAAAAGAATAATGGCACACGTGCTCCTTTTTCCATTTGTTATGTTACCGCCCCACTACAATGTCACAGTTGCCAAGCGCGAAGTGCGCCCGAATGCCTAGGACCTATCAGATAATTGTGGAACCTTCTGATGAGATTACGTTCTCAATTCGAACATTGGAGTTCTGAAACTTACGCGGCTGCTAGCGATAACGCTGGGATCTTCGATGGCACATGTATAAAAGCCAATGAGCTTGACCCATTGTCTGTTTCACAGTTACCGACGCTATTCCCGCAGATATCAGTGTATAGCGTGAATTTTTGCTGTAATTTGACTCTGGGTTTCCAGACACGAATTCAACCAAATGAAGAGTGATCTTGAAGCCGACTGCGGCCCTCGTTCACGTCATGACCAGTGACAATGTTCTTAGTGGTGCTGTGTTTCATTTGTACAACAATTCAACTGACTAAGTTGCAATAATATTTTACCAGAATGCATGGAACGAACCCTACCTGAAAGGGGATGACCAGTACATGGACGACACAGAGACCATCACCAATCTAGTCGAGCACATCAAGACGAGAAAACATCTATATGGCGATCCTGATGCGGTGTACTTAGCTACAGGGTAAGGATGCTTTGTTTATCTATGTTGTTCGCAGTCTGTTTGCCGAGAAAATTTTTAAAAAGATGAACCATCTTTATTAGGTCCATCGCAATGCGCTTCAGCACATTGCAGGCCAACCTCACGTCGGAACAGATGCGAAGCAATTGTTTGCCAGATTTTTCTTCAAGGCCAGTAAAGGTCACGAGAATGTTTTCGATGTCCTTATTTAAGCACATCGAGTAATTTCCGCGCAAGAATGACTTAAACAAAGCTTAAAATGCTGTAGGGAGATATTAAAAGAAAAGTGAAGTGATTTGATTCATTGCTAACTACCCTAAAGTGTGCTCTCAGAATAAACAGAGCACCTCCAATTCACCAGTAACAGTTGTTGGTGGTGCTCTCTCACGTCTTCTCGTGCGATTGTGTTCGTGTCATGCCTTCAAATTACTTATGAACGTACTCCAACTAGACCGAAATTAGGTTCTCGAAAGCTGACAGTTTATGTCAAGTAAACATTCAAGGAAACACAGAAGGTTATAACAAAAAAAAAAAACAAGTGTGAATCTTCACCTTCACAATATACACCACATCTTAGACATATATATTATTTAACGTAACGAAGCCAAACATGTCCCCACCTGATGCAAAAACATTGTAATCATATTTGATATTTAGTAGCAATTTGGTACCAATAGGCCTACCATAGATTATGAATATAACATTTGGATACGTACAAGTCTACACGGTAACAAAGTGCGCCTTGTTATAGTAGGGTAACGTGTTGACGCTATGTATGAGCGTTATGTGGAGTATGAAGTTGCACAAGGTTGATTTTGTTTGTCTGATTTTTAAGAATATCTCTTAATTTTGCATTTTAATTTTTCGAATTAGGTTTCACTGTAATAAATGCTTTGCATTAGCCATTGTATGAGTTGCCTCAACAAAGTATTGTTCACAGCAGTTTTTTTTTCGGTATGCCGAGGAGCATTAGTCAATATGATTTTTTCTATTTTCTATTTCAGGCGTGACATGTATGCAATGGATAGTGGTGCACCAGATACTCGGCGTAAAGGTAGCGTTTACTTGTTTTTAGGGACCTACTCGGAAATTTACGTGGTTTCTCTTCTAAAGAAAATATGCGGAACAGTCAAAGGTATTTTGCATGGAATATGTTGAACATGTGTCAAAAATCAAAACATTATTGGGACGAAGAGGTGTACCTGATTGGGATCCTTTGTAGACAAACTACAATATCGAACATGCTTCCTGCAGAAAGAACGAACTGAACACCAAGCTTGTTATCTTACTGCATGTTTCGAGAATCACACGCGTGTCGTGGTTAGGATTCCTCAGTATACTTAGTCATGCTTGAAGGAAACTTGCTGCTGCGAAACGACACGTTACTTTTTCAGGACTGGCCTTTGTCGCTGGGGTGTGCACCGAGCTGTTCGTGGCTATTGGTGAAGACAACGCCGGCTCCTACGACGGGATGCACGCCCTGACGCACGAAGTGGCGCATTTGTAAGGCTCAGAACATCAGCCTGTTCTCGCAGTGTTAGTGGGTACTGTACGTGTAATGTTGTGGAGTCTAGAAACATCACCCTGTTCTCGCAATGTTAGTGGGTACTGTACGTGTAATGTTGTGAAGTCTAAAAACATCACCCTGTTTTCGCAATGTTAGTGGGTACTGTACGTGTAATGTTGTGGAGTCTAAAAACATCACCCTGTTTTCGCAATGTTAGTGGGTACTGTACGTGTAATGTTGTGGAGTCTAAAAACATCACCCTGTTTTCGCAATGTTAGTGGGTACTGTACGTGTAATGTTGTGAAGTCTAAAAACATCACCCTGTTTTCGCAATGTTAGTGGGTACTGTACGTGTAATGTTGTGGAGTCTAAAAACATCACCCTGTTTTCGCAATGTTAGTGGGTACTGTACGTGTAATGTTGTGAAGTCTAAAAACATCACCCTGTTTTCGCAATGTTAGTGGGTACTGTACGTGTAATGTTGTGGAGTCTAAAAACATCACCCTGTTTTCGCAATGTTAGTGGGTACTGTACGTGTAATGTTGTGGAGTCTAAAAACATCACCCTGTTTTCGCAATGTTAGTGGGTACTGTACGTGTAATGTTGTGGAGTCTAAAAACATCACCTTGTTCTCGCAATGTTAGTGGGTACTGTACGAGTAATGTTGTGGAGTCTAAAATCGTGTTAAAGTAAATATTTTTTGCAGGAGCTCGAAATTTTGTTGATAAGATTATGTGATATAATGAAAATCAGCTAACGAATACTATGAAAAAATTCTACTATAAATAGAATTTGCCAGGCATTCCGTGATGATCGACTCCACGATGACAAACCGTGCTACAATACTAGCCTTCAGCTGCAGTATTTAGCCTATATCTGTTTTAAAATTTTGTTCCTTTTAAATACCATACCGTGAACAAGCAAAATATTGCACTATAGAGGGATCATGCAGTGCTGCGACACCGGATTGTGCGGGCCTGTTTGTGTCAATGACTGGTGGACGGCGCACACTATGCCATTGATAAGTCTTGTGCCACGGGCTCCGCTGTCCGCGTTTCAATTGATGCCGATAGTACATCCAATCACAGGAGCGTGTTGTGCTTCCTCGCAGATTGGGCGCCGCCCACGACGGGGACGCACCGAAGACCAACATCGTGCCGGGTCACCCTGGCGCGCTGGCGTGCCCGTTCAGCCAGGGATACATCATGAGTTACGTCAACACTGGACCCAACTACCACCGTTTCTCTCCGTGCAGCGTTGTTCAGATTCGATACGTCATGAGGTGAATACTATTTACTCCCACACGGGCAGGAACTCCTTTTAACTAGGATGGTAGCAGATTTGGATGCGGGATGGTGAAAAATTGACAGATAGTGCACAGGCCTATCCCTTCTACAGCGTTGTTTGTTCGAAACTAAACACACATTTTTTTCGCCTTTCAGTGTGGTCGCTATTTTGAAGCGAGGTTAACTATTGACTCCCCGAGAAGTACGAACTGCTGGGCAAGTTGGTAACTTAGCGTTGCGGTGCGCAAACTAGTGACATGGTGAAAAGAACATGAAACACTGCGCACACTATCAACTAAGAATTCATTGAAGCGTAGATATGTGTCGGGTTAGATGAACACGTGCTAAAAAAGCATGAGCGGACAAAGATTGTCTCAATGACGCGCCTCCAGAAAGTAACTTCACGTCACTTTTTTTTCGCTTCGAGCATCCACCTTCGACTGAAGCGTCTTCTTTGGTAACCATACACGAGTGAGACACGTTGACCCAAGATAAGATTTAAGCCAGCTGCTTTTTATGTAGACTGAAAATAGCCTTGGCAGCTCTCAGCCGTCTAGTATCGAGGTCGTAATTAGAGCGGCCAGCGACCTTACATAAGGGCTGAACCAGTTGAAGGTTTACTAAGGCGACTTTGTGACATCGCGAAATAAACCCTTTTCGTTTCCTTGATAAGCAGTATAACGCCCTCTTCAGATAGGAGTCAGCCGACACGTATAAGATATATCCATTGATTTTAACAGTTTTCGACACCTAGCATCGACAAGCCAGCCCCACCGCAATGAACGACATCACGACGAATTGACACCGCTTCCCCGAGTTTGCTAGTTCTGCGTTCTGCATGCTGGCTAAACGACATGAATCTCTGTAGGTGTCACTGTAGACAATGCGCTCATCGTTGCCCCGCGGGCAGATTGCAGATCTGCCGCAAATGCGTCATAAAAGGCTGTATCCCCGTGACGTCACACTGCCACAAAACGTCACAGAGAGCCGCCTCTTTCTTTTTAAGATAGCGGTATTTAAAATGTAGATAGCGTTATTTAAAACGTATGATGCATTCACTGGCACCACCGTACTGCTGATGGCGTACTCGAAACCCATGCTGTTATTTATAGCAACAATCCCAAAATGTTTCAAATTCATGTCCGTACACTCCTTCGCTTAAGTAATCAATTGAATGACCTCAATTACAGAGCTTACTGCCGCAAAAATAGATTACCGCAAAAATTTCTCGCGTTCTTCGAGAATGAGCGGAGTTATATGATTTGTTGCGTGATTTACGCACATTCTTCCCACACGCCATAGTGGTCTAGTGAATATGGTGTTTGACTGCTGGCCCGGAGGCCACGGCATTGAATCCAGACCACGGCAGCCGCATTTCAACGTAGGTGAAAAGACCCGTGTGCTTAGGTTATGTGCTGGTTAATAACATCAGATGGTCAGTATTGCCGGAGCCCTCCACTACAGCGTCTCTCTAATTATACAATGATTTTCGTACGCAGAACTGTAAGAGTTCCTGTACTGTAGCACCAGTACTGTAGCAGTACTATAGCACCAGTAGGTATAACGGGCTCAAGTCATTCTAGCATAAATGAGGAGGGGAAGCTTCCCGAGTTAGTACTTTTTTTTAAACAGCCAATTTGTTCTAAAATAATAGTAACAAGGGTAAAGCCTAGTGAGTGTGGCATGGAAGTGCAAACAATAAACCGATTAGCTTCTCAGGAAGGAGCAGGTCGACATGCAGCAGCAGTGTATTTCCCTAAGTTCAGTGTTTCAAGTTCTTGCGTATGTGCGCGTGCGTGCGTGCGTGTGTGCAAAATGCATCGCCATTGAATGCTGGAAAGCCCAAACAAAATGACTGAGGTGGGATGCCAGTCAGTGACCTGGAGGATTAACTAAGCGTTGATGAGGATGGTAACAGTCGCCTCACAGAAGTCAGTCCATTTTCTCACCAGGAGCAGTGTAGCCAGGCACGGCGGGCTGTCGTTCTAACCGGCGATGCAACAAAAAGCCTTGAGCAACCTGTTTGCCACTGCGAAGTTAGGCAAGGCGCCAGTTGAAATAAGGGCATGCTTTTCAGTGGTAAATAAGCGTTGCGGATGTCACGGTTCAGGTACTTGGGAAAATTGAGCAGTGATGCTATCGTTATCAGTCGCGGAGGTTTTCCTCCGCCTTTGTTGGTATAACTGCGACCACAATCGAGAGCATCCACGCAGAAAATGATGTAGAGTACAATAGCAAGAGAGGTGACTCAGTATGAAGCGACGTCGTGATAACGTGTTGGTAGCTAATGTGCGTCATGTGCATGGATGTCAGAGAGTTGAGCATTACGGACACCAACTACATACGAGATTTTTTTGCGTGTGCTTGGGTGGTGTTGTATCATTGTTGCACACACGTAAATGGGCCACAACCTGTTGCGTGTTTGAGCATCTATTGAAGTAGTGCTGTTTGTTCAAACAAGGTGCACCACACATACACCTGTCTGATGTAGTTATGTTAAATCGCTGAAGATAATACTGTAAGTGTCCCTGACTAGACAATAAATATGTTAGGCTTTTAGGAGGGGGGGCACTGAGGAATTATGTAGGGACTTGGGATCCAGTGAAATAATGTCTCAGGTCCCTCAGTCCGCCAATGGGTGTACCAATATAAATTCAAGATTTTATAAATCTGAGTGAGTAGACAACGGCTCCTGCTTTATTCAAGGTTTTCGCGATGCTACTTTGCAATTTCAACGTTATATTAGTGCAACGATTTCCAGGAGACACAGGGACTCTGTCGACACGAGTTGGGCGCAGTGAGTGCTTGTTTATTGCCTGCCTCTTATTGCACCTCCGCCATTGTCGCTCGCCCGCCGACAGCTAGCCCTGACAATTGCCTTCTTCGCTCTAACGTGGCGCGTGCTCGCTCGTGCGCCCCGTAGCTGCACTGTCTCACTAAGCGATGGACTACCACGTGACAGGGGACCGAAAGAAATCACACCATACCATGGATGGCAGACCGCCTCGTGTCACCGAGCGCTAGCCCAAAATGAAGGCTCCAAACGTGCGCCGTCATATAGCGCTTCGAAACGCAACGAGCACAAGCTCCGCAACAGAGAAAATGTGAAGAAAAAAATTATGCGAGCAAGCCGAATGCCTCGACTACAAAGGGACGACATCCACATCATTAGACCCTGAGGGTGTCTTAACATCGCTAGGGCTGGCTCAACGACAATCGCTGAAGCCATTTCGACTTCGGCAGGTATCACTCCAATGGAACAGCAAGCATACTTCCTCTGCCCCAATATTGAACAGAATACTTTAGTGGCAAGCATGCTGAAGAGATTGATTGATTGATATATGGGGTTTAACGTCCCAAAACCACCATATGATTATGAGAGACGCCGTAGTGGAGGGCTCCTGAAATTTAGACCACCTGGGGTTCTTTAACGTGCACCCAAATCTGAGCACACGGACCTACAACATTTCCGCCTCCATCGGAAATGCAGCCGCCACAGCCGGGATTCGAACCCGCAACCTGCGGGTCAGCAGCCGAGTACCTTAGCCACTAGACCACCGCGGCGAAGTAACATGCTAAAGAGAGGGAAATGCCAATCGCTACGTGCGTTAAAGAAATCCGCATCGCTGACAAGACCTCTGAAGTTAGTGCCTACGAAGCGGCACCACATTCTACATCCAAAGGAGTCATTCGAGGGATTCCCGTGCAAGACGGTTCGGCGGACATTGATGCGAAGATTGTCAACGACCACAATACACTAGCCCTGGCTGCCAAGCGCATCGCAAGTACCACCGCAGTGATCGTGGCCTTCGATGGACATCGCGTGCCCAGTTTTGTGCGATACGGATCGGTGCTACTTCAATGTACACTATACCGTAGACAGATATTTGCTATGCCTGCGGTCAGCTTGGCCATCGAGCGGACATTTGCCCGAACCCTGGAGACGTTATCTGCCGAGGCTGCAGCGTGCCGAACCTAGAAAAAAGAACACCGCTGCACACCAACATGCAAGCTTTGCGGAGGAGCCCACCTCACTGCCGACAAGGATGGTAAAGAACGCTACCACATTCCATACGTGGTGCGACGACGACGATGGGAGCAAGCACACTCGACGCGACACAACAATGGTCACGAAGCATCGAACGAGTTCAACGCCACCGTTGACGACGACCAAGCCTCGAAGCTTTCTACAGATGGTCAATCCGATGGCAGCCGATCCTGGTTCCGATCCGGGAGTCGTCCCAGGAACCGCATCATGCGTGCATCGAAGTCCCGAAGCCACCCTCGGACCCATTCCCACAGCGCCCGAAGTGGGACCCCAACCGGATCAATATGGTGGGGCTATTCTAGATCCCATTCCAGTTCACGTCACGGTTCCCGTCCAGGTTCCCGGCCCGGGTCACGCTTCGGCTCCCACTCCGGTTCTGGGCCTCACGCTGGTTATAGGCCTTACCCCAGTCTCACCGGGGTCTCCCGTCAACAATCGCCGAGCCCATCACCACCACCATCGCCAGGCAACGCCAACAAGATTGATTGATTGATATGTGGAGTTTAATGTCCCGAAACCACCATATGATTATTATGAGAGACGCCGTAGTGGAGGGCTCCGGAAATTTCGACCACCTGTGGTTCTTTAACGTGCACCCGAATCTGAGCACATGGGCATACAACATTTCCGCCTCCATCGGAAATGCAGCCGCCGCAGTCGGGATCCGAACCAGGCGAAAGCATGGCTCTCGTGCAGTCTACCCTTGCGGCACATGGTAATCAGTTGGGTCAAGTAGAGCAATACCTTGATCACGTCGTAACCTCTGCCGTTGCCGCGGGTAAGCCGTTGTCCTAACGTACAGCCGTGCCCAGTCCACCACTTCACGCGGCCCTTATGCACCCGCCGAGTGCTCAGGCCGACTCCTACATACCTCAAGATGGCCAGGCCAATTCACGAGTTGCGAATCTGGCAATGGAACTCCAGAAGCTTCGCCCATAAGAAAGCCTTCCTGCAGCAATACCTCCGTAGCCACGAAGCCAAACCTCACATCATGCTATTACAAGAGACTGCAGTACCAACCGCCACGTTTTCCGGATACTAGTGGTGGCCCGGCTCCTCGGGAAGATGCGGTACCACACCCCTGGTTGCTAACTAAACTACCTGCACAGCGCACAGTCTCAAGGTGCCCGAAATTAAACATGTTATGGTCGAAATTCTCCTGGCAACACATCACAACAAAGCGTGTACATACTCGACACATACAGTAGTCCCAGCCATCATAGAAAAAGGTTCACACGCTTGTTCTAGAAAGCCATTCGTCTCGCGGGGCCGAACCCGCTAGTGATTGTGGGTGATTTTGACGCCACGCATAGCACCTGGGGCTACGCGTACGACACAACCAAAGGTAGCGAGCTTTGGAAAAGTGCGAATGATATGGATCTGATTCTCTCTACGGAAAAGGCCCTCCCCACTCGCACCGGTACGTCCACGCAAAGCGACACTACGCCGGATGTCTGCGTCAAGAATGTCGTTGTCGCCCGCTGGTCCAACCTCGCGGTAGATCTTGGTAGCGACCGCTGCATACTGGCCGTACACTTCCCCAGAGTCAGCAGGAAGACCAAGTCGTACACCTGGGTCGACTGGGAACTCCTTCGTAAGACCCCAGCAGAACGACCTCCTCCCAATTCCCACCGAGCCTCGAAACGTGGACGGCCCAGCTCAAAGCTGACGTAAACAAGGCAACCAAAACTGTCAGTACGGACCTTCCAACCTAAAAGATGGACATTCGTCTCGCCCACCTACTCGAGGCAAAACAGTCTATTGGCCCAGTGGAAGGGCCAGAGCCTTAATCAGTGGTTACGCAAACTCATATCTCAGCTGAACAAGACCATGATGGATTACTGCCGCATCATTTCAGAACAGCAGTGGGGCGAAGTTTGTAACTCGATTGATGGTCAGGTTGGTTGGTATGTGGGGTTTAACGTCCCAAAACCACCATATGATTATGAGAGACGACGTAGTGGAGGGCTCCGGAAATTTCGACCACCTGGGGTTCTTTAACGTGCACCCAAATCGAAGCACATGGGCCTACAACATTTCTTCCTCCATCGGAAATGCAGCCGCCGCAGCCGGGATTTGATCCCGCGACCTGTGGGTGAGCAGCCAAGTACCTTAGCCACTAGTCCACCGCGGTGGGGCGATTGATCGTCAGGTTCATAATGGCAAAACGTGGAACTTAAACACCTCCTCAATCAAACCAACACCCACATAAATCAGCGTGATTCGATCATGAAGATATTTCAAGCTAAATGGACAGTATCACCGGAGAATGTTGTCAAGAACCTCGTGGAGAAATTTCTCACGCTTCCCATGGGCCCTGTGACCCCTCACCCCGATTACTCTGGTAGCGACAACACCAACTTAGATGCCGACTTTTCTATTGAAGATGTGTGCCGAGCTCTCCATGAGCTCAATGGTCGCTCATTCCCTGGCCCCTACGGCATCACCAACAAGCTCCTACGCGATTTGTACGATCCGTTCATCACACACCTCACCGTCAGTATCAACGAAATATAGGACAAGGGTGAGATATCCGATGCCTAGAAACTAGCTCACGCGGTCCTCATCCCCAAGCCGGGAAAGGCACCGAGCCTAGATGACCTATGCCCCATACATCTCATGTTGTTGTGGGCAAGATGGCCGAGCACGTTCTCCTCCACAGGGTTGGTCGATGCCTCTAAGATAACGACTGCCTCCCGCGCCATATAATTGGCTTCCAACCAGGGTTACCCACTCAAGGCACCATCTTACTCCTGAAGCATCAATTTCTAGATGGCGGAAACACTCGGGACACTCGTACAATACTCGGTCTCGATTTAGAAAGGCATTCGATACCATTACGCTATCATCAATTTTGAAAGTGATCGCAGCCCTCGGCCTGAGTCATCGATTTTGCTACTTTATCCGCTCTTTTCTCACTCGATGCAGAGCCGTCCGTCCTCCGCGTGAGAGACCTAGTGTCGGAAAAAGTGGAGCTCAGACAGCGGGGCACTCCTCAAGGGATCCGTCCTCTCGCCCACGCTTTTTAACCTTGTGATGATCGGGCTTTCCCAACGACTTTCGAAAATCGACGGGCTAAACCACACTATGTGGACAATGTAATCATATGGTGCTCCACAGGGTCGGATGGCTTCATCGAGTCCGCCCTGCAAGAGGCCATCGACGCCGCCGAGTCCTACCTCGTCCACACCGGTCTCGGGTGCTCACACGCGAAGTCGGAGCTGTTGATATATTTGCCCAAACGCCGGGGTGCCAAGCCCCAAGAGTAGAAACCTCCGGCGGAACATAATATCACCCTCAACACCAGAGATGGTCGTACAGTACCTAAGGTAGACACCATCAAGGTCCTTGCCACACTTCACCTTTATTATCCTGATACATACCCCAGCGACACATGCCCCTCGTGCGGGCACACGGCGACACTCGCACACATGCTCTGGTATTGTAGAAACACTCCTCCCGGCTACCTCAAACAAGTGGGAGAGGTCCTCCAGGTGCTCGCTTCTCGCCGACCAGCAATGGGCCGTTCAGCAGCCCACGAAGTGGCCGCCAGGCACTCCCTGTCGGTCCCTACGTGGGAGACGCCCGCTACGCGCTAAGAGCATCCTGCAGGACTGAAATAAAGTTTTTTTTTTCATTCCATTCTATGAAACAGAGTCCGTACTGAGCGAAGTGATACCTTGGCGTAACGCACGAAGCTTGATCTCCCTTCTGATACAGCTGCTGCGTCAGATAGTTCATTTCCCAAAGTTACCATATGGCCGGGTACGTGATACAATTGTATAATTTTGCCTGACGAGATTATATGGTTAAGAAGCAGCTTTACGTTCCGAATTTTTTCGTCGTTATCGGTGAGACTTGGCAGTTTCGTTAAAAGCGATAGAAAGTCTGTAAATGTGGGCTGGTATGTTAAAGTTACAAATATATTTGCAAAAACGAAATAGAGTGCTTCTTGAAATGCACATAATTTTGTGGCGTATGCGCTTGAAGCATTGCGGATCTGAAATTTCCTGACAGTTATGATTTTTTCATCTGGTCAAAGCAATGTATGACGCTCCCGCCGCGTATATATGACGTGTATGAGCCGTCGATGTTCCACAGTAGCGGGCTAATAGGGAATCCCCGAGGGGTGCCAATGGTTGTGTGAGTTGTCACACATTCATTGGCACAACGAAACTTGCAGTGCAGTTCGACAAAAGTGTTTGAGTAGGCAGTACAAGTTTTGTGGACACCTGTGCTTGCGTGGACAGTTTAAGACAGCAGGGCGCCAAATGCTATCAAATGCTCCTACGAAATCAAGAGATCTGAGTATAGTAGGAAGCTTGGATGCTTTGTATGCCGCTAATTTGGTTCGGAGTGTGTACAGTGCTAAAGTAGCTCTTTTATCATGTGTAAAACCGTATTGTTTATTGTGGAGAAAATGATTGATGCGCAAGAAATAATACAGACGACGAGTAAGGAGTGTTTCTAATACTTTGCCTAAGACAGTTCATTACTATTGGTCTATATGCCATAGGCTAATTGAGCGGACGCCTTAAATTCGGTATGAATATTACTTTTCCTTTTCTCCAAGCTTGCGGGAAATGTCCGATTGTTAGGGTGGCATTAAATATAAAATGGAAAAATTGGGAACGACAGTCAAATAACCTTTTAATGAACAGGTAGGTTAATCCATTGTATTCAGGATCAGAGTGGGAATTGCCCTGTTTCATCGCACACTATCTCAAATGTTGTAAACAGAGGGGCACAGGTGTGCCACGGGAAGGACTGGCCACAATGCCACGAATGATAGTGTGGTGCGTGTTGCCTTCAGAACAGCTGTCCACTGCTACCAATGTATCTAGTAGGACCCGGGTGGACTCCATAGAGAAGTTGTGAGGGAGTCGTTATGTAAACCAAGAGGATGAAAAAAAAAAGTTACATGGTGTTTTCGAAATGCTGTTTTGAAAACACCACCATATAAAGATTTTTTAGTAAGGAAGACACAAATGTCTATCAAACGATGATTTCGCTTTCCCTATTTGATCCTTGTTAGTGGAGAGCAAGATTAGTCGCAGCAGTGTCTGCAATCCACGGGATGTGGTTTCGCACCCAGCCCAAAGAGTGGCTGTTCATGACTTTTTTAAAGGCAGCGAACATCTGCGGTACATGCATGGCAGACGGGACAATTGTGATATTGTAGGCTTTATCAAGCACCCAGTTAAATATTTTGAAGTTAGCTTTATGGTTAGCGTACGTTCTCACTCAGAAGAAAGCATATAAACACCAGCTTCTTAGCCCAGACGTTAGCGTGCATGAGCTGCACATGCGCACAAAGTCGTGACAGCATCTATGCGAAGACCTCCCTGCATTTTAGTTTGCTTCACTGCCTTTCTCTTATAGCTGGTGCGATAAAAGCATGGCCATTCGTTGCGTTAGAGACGTTAGGTATGAGACTCGCACAATGTTGTACGTAATTTGGTACGTTAATTCTGGTAAACCTGTACGCATGATTTTTTTACCGCTTATCAGGCTCCGAGGGCCGCTCTGCTGGCAGGTTAAATCCCAGGGACACAAAGTGGATGGCTACTACCCGGGCATGCTGGTCACGCCACTCAACATTTGCAAATACAAATTCCCCCGAGAACAAAGTGTGAATGCGGACACGGTGAGTGTACTCGTGTCTTTTGTCAATGTTTACCACACTGGTTGTTTACGATCGTTTCCGCTTGAAATGTGATCTCCACGAACAGAGGCATACCTACCGATCGAAATACCTTAGAAAGCTGCGTCCGAGACAAAATTACCTTGGGAATTCATATTAGCCTTTACTTTTCTAAAGCTGTACTGATACATTGCTGTCAACTCACGACTACACGCACGAATGACGTAATATTCATGGCCACATCTACACGGTAAATATTGATTATAAGTCTCCTAATAAACAATTTGCGGTGAATTAGCTTGTGATTTTGGAACAAATATTTAGATTCTACGCTCTAACCACTACGCCATCAGTGCGGCGATGGCGTAGTGGTTAGAGCATCCGCCTCGCGTGCAAGAGGTCCGTGGTTCAAATCTCGGTGCCGCGCAGTTCCCAACCGGGAAAAAAAAGAAAAAAAAATCTGCGTGTTGATGAAACTGCATTAAGAGGCCTGGGGTGCGGCCTCACCGGTAACCACCGCCGGGAACGCACTCCCTCACCAGAGAAAGATTGGCCACTCTGGTGCAGTATCTGGCCACTGCCTCCCACATGCATACGTCAAATAACTCACGGCCCTCAGTCCCCAGCAGCTGCGAAGCAACTGACCATGGCGGCGATCAGATCTGAAACGCAGCAGAGGGTGCTAAGAATCTCTGGACCATACAGGCCACCATTGCAACCTGAACTTGGCAACGTTTAACGCTAGAACCTTATCTAGTGAGGGAAGTCTAGCTGTACTATTCGAGGAGCTAGAGGGTGTTAAATGGGATATAATAGGGCTCAGTGAGGTTAGGAGGACAGATGAGGCCTATACTGTGCTACAGAATGGGCACGTTCTTTGCTATCGGGGCTTGGCAGACAGAAGAGAACTGGGAGTGGGGCTCCTAATTCACAAAAACATAGCTGGGAACATAAAGGAATTCCATAGCATTAATGAAAGGGTGGTAGGTATTGTAATTAAACTGAATAAAAGATACAAGATGAAGGTAGTACAGGCTTACGCGCCTACATCCAGCCATGATGACGCTTCAGTTGAAAGCTTCTATGAAGACGTGGAACCGGCAATGAGTAAGGTAAAAACACAGTATACTATAGTGATGGGCGACTTTAATGCAAATGTAGGGAAGAAGCAGGCTGGAGACCACGCAGTAGGAGATTATGGCATCGGCACTAGAAACGCCAGAGGAGAGCTACTAGTAGAATTCGCAGAACGCAATAATGTGCGGATTTTGAATACCTTCTACCGAAAACGAGAAAACCGCAAGTGGACATGGAGGAGCCCTAATGGCGAAAATAAGAACGAAATAGACTTTATAATGACTGCACATCCAGGAATCGTGCAGGATGTGGAAGTGGTTGGCAAGGTACGATGCAGTGACCATAGAATGGTACGGTCTCGAATTCGCCTAGACTTGAAGAAGGAACGACAGAAACTGATACGCAAGAAGCCAATCAATGAACTGGCACTGAGGGGGAAAGTACAGGAATTCAGAGTGTTGCTGTAGAACAGGTACTCGGCTCTTAGTGAGGAAACCAACCTTAGCGTAGATACAATGAATGATAATCTCACGAGTATCATTACGGAGTGTGCAGTAGAAGTTGGAGGCAGGGTAGTTAGACAGGACACTGGCAAGCTTTCCTAGGAAACGAAGAACCTAATTAAGAAGCGTCCAATCATGAAAGTGTCAAGTACAACAGACAACAGACAAAATAGAACTGGCAGAGCTTTCGAAGTTGATTAATCGACGTAAAGTATGCGATGTAAGAAGGTATAACATGGAGAGAATTGAACACGCTCTGAAAAACGGAGGAAGCGTCAAAGCAGTGAAGAGGAAACTTGGGATAGGCAAAAGTCGGATGTATGCACTAAAAGACAAAGAAGGCAAAATAACTACCAATATGGATAGGATAGTTAAAATAGCGAAGGAGTTTTACAGAGATCTGTACAGTAGCCGAGACAACCACGACCTTAATACTATAAGAACTAGCAGTAACCCAGATGACACCCCACCAGTTATGATAGAAGAAGTCAGAAAAGCTTTGGAGAGCATGCAAAGAGGCAAAGCTGATGGTGAGGATCAGGTAACATCAGATCTGCTGAAAGATGGAGGACAGATTGTGTTAGAAAAACTAGCCACCCTGTTTACGAGGTGGCTCCTGACGGGAAGGGTACCAGAGTCTTGGAAGAACGCTAACATCATCTTAATACATAAGAAAGGAGATGACAAGGAATTGAATTACAGGCCGATCAGCTTGCTCTCTGTAGTATACAAGCTATTTACAAAGGTAATTGCTAACAGAGTCAAGAAAGCATTAGAATTCAAACAGCCAAAGGAACAAGCAGGATTTCGAACAGGCTACTCAACAATTGACCACATTCATACTATAAATCAGGTAATAGAGAAATTCTCAGAGTATAACCAACCACTATACATAGCCTTCATAGATTACGAGAAGGCGTTTGATTCAGTAGAAATATCAGCCGTCATGCAGACACTGCGGAATCAGGTCGTAGATGAAGTGTATATAAACATCCTGGAAGAAATCTACAGGGGAGCAACTGCTGCCATACTGCTTCATAAAGAAAGCAACAAAATACCAATCAAGAAAGGCGTAAGGCAGGGGGAAACAATCTCCCCAATGCTATTTACCGCGTGCTTACAGGAGGTTTTCAGAAGCCTAGAATGGGAACAATTAGGGATAAGAGGTAATGGAGAGTAACTTAGTAACCTGCGCTTCGCCGATGACATTGCATTGCTGAGTAACTCGGGGGACGAATTGCAACTCATGATTACGGAGTTAGACAATGAGAGCAGAAAGATGGGTCTTAAAATTAATCTGCAGAAAACGAAAGTAATGTACAACAACCTCGGAAAGGAGCAGCGCTTCGAGATAGGTAATAGTGCACTTGAAGCTCTAAAAGACTATGTCTACTTAGGGCAGGTAATAACCGCAGAGCCTAACCACGAGATTGAAGTAACTAGAAGAATAAGAATGGGGTGGAGCACATTCGGCAAGCACTCTCAAATTATGACAGGTAGATTGCCACTATCCCTCAAGAGGAAGGTATATAACAGCTGTATCTTGCCGGTACTTAGCTACGGAGTAGAAACCTGGAGACTTACAAAGGGGGTTCCGTTTAAATTGAGGACAACGCAGCGAGCAATGGAAAGAAAAATGGTAGGTGTAACCTTAAGAGACAAGAAGACAGCAGAGTGGATTAGGGGACAAACGGGGGTTAAGGATATTATAGTTGAAATAAAGAAGAGGAAATGGACATGGGCCGGGCATGTAGCGTGTGGACAGGATAACCGCTGGTCATTAAGGGTGTTACGTCTGTACAGCCGCTTGTGACTGTAGACGATTTATTAAAGGACAGGAAACGTGAACAAGTTCAAAAGCGTAGCCCAGGCGTTGGAGTCACTCCTGGCCAGCGTTCGACGCCAGGCTCGCGCTCGTGCCACAGCGCCAGTGCCCCGCGCGCACTTCGTTAATGTCGTCTTCTAAGGCGACATGTCACTCTTCCTCCCTTAGACGAAGTCTCCATAGCGGTCTGGAGGTCGCCTAACCTCTGGTGGTCGCAGTTGCCGAGTGGCCACTGCCCGTGACGTCGACGGTTGCGAGGGAGTGTGATCTTGCATCTCGGGCGATTCAGGCGGTTGAGCAGCTGAGCTCGATGGCGTCTCTTCTGGCGTTGCGTCCAAGAGATCGTCAGCTGCGCTCCAATCTGTCCGCGATTGGGTTGTTTGTCTGGTCTGACTCGTTTTCCTCATGTGATTGAGGTGACGCCGAACCTTTCCTTGGTCGCTTTTTACAAGCCAGGATCGTGGTCCGACGCGGCGCAGTATTTCGCCTTCAATCCAATCTGGCTTTTTCAAAAACTGCCGGATAAGCACTCTATCCCCTATAGCGAAGCGGCGTGATTTTTGCAATGCCTCCTGGCTCTCAGGACTTCGCTTATCCGTCTCCCGCTTAAGAAGATCGAGAGGGCAGAGCAATTCTCGTCCGAACATCGCTCTCGCCGGTGTCATACCTGTGGTAGTGTGTATTGTCGTGTGCTGCCGATACAGAAATCTTGCAAGTCGGCACTGTATGGACTTGTCTGCATCTTTCAACAGCGCTCTTTTCAGCTCCGCCACATAGCGTTCTGCCTGGCCGTTTGTTGCCGGATGATATGCTGGTGAGGTTGCAGCCTGTATGCCGTTCGACGCATAGAACTGCTTGATCTCGTTGGAGATGAATGCTTTTCCGTTGTCGGAGATGACCTTTCGGGGAATGCCGAACGTTGCAAAGAGGCTTCGGAGCACGTCGATTACAGCCGCGGATGTTGCTTGTGTCACGTGCCGGACTTCCACCCACTTTGTGTATGCGTCCACAACAACTAAGTAGGTGCGTCCGAGTAGTGGCCCCGCGAAGTCAACGTGCACCGTGTTCCATGCTGTCTGGGGACGGTCCCACGTAGGAATAGGAGCTTTGGGTGGGCTCTTTTGCGTTGCTTGGCATTCACGGCACTGTCGCACCGTTTCCTCGATCACCTTGTCCATTCCGGGCCACCATACGTAGCTCCTTGCGCACTTCTTCATGGCTACCATGCCTCTGTGACCCGCATGCAGAAGTGCCAGAACACGGGATCGTGCTGAGCTCGGTATGATCACTCGGGATCCAAGTGTGATGCACTCGCGCTGTAGTGCTAGTGCGGTCGCTCGTCGTCGGTAAGGAGCAAACTCATCTCCAGTGAGTTTCTCCACTGTACCATCCTGCACTGCCTTGTACAACCTCTGCATGATGCTGTCTTGTTGTGTCAGGCGTGCTATCTCGGCAGCAGTCAACGGAGGTCTCGATAACGCTTCGAACAATAGTACGTCACCTGGAGGCCAGGGTTCATCGAGACGTTCTTGTAATGGCAAACGGCTCAACGCATCCGCGTTTTGATGGTTCTTGCCACGCCTGTAGATTATGCTGTAGTCATACGCCGATAACTTGATGCACCATCTGGTCATCCGTGGAGAAAGGACTTGAGCCGTTGGCTTTTGTGGACCCAGTATGCCGAGCAGTGGTTGGTGGTCAGTGACGAAAGTCACCTTTCTTCCCGCAATATACTTGTGGAACTTGTGGGCTGCAAACACCACAGCAAGGCCTTCTCTGTCCAATTGAGCATATTTGCGTTCTGCCGGCCCTAGCGTCCGAGATGCAAAAGCGATTGGCGCCTCTCTATTCTGGTCATCACGTTGAGACAGAACAGCTCCTATGCCATATGGTGAAGCATCACAAGAGACAAGAAGCTCCTTCTGTTCGTCGTAGTGTGCCAGTACGGTCTGACTGAGCAGCAATGCCTTAAGCTTGTCAAAGGCTTCTTGATGCTTTGTCTCCCATCTCCACGTGGCGTCCTTCTGAAGAAGCTGGTATAGGCAGCTGGCAACTGTTGCCCTGTTCTTCAAGAATCTGTCGTAGAAAGCCAGCATTCCGAGAAATGATTGAAGCGCTTGTTTGCAGTTTGGTGCTGGAGCGTCCGTTATGGCTCGAACTTTCTCTTCGTTTGTGTGGACGCCTGTCTCGTCGATTCGGTGTCCCAGAAAGAAAACTTGTCGCACCGCAAAGCAGCACTTGTTTTTTCCGAGGCGCAGATTGTAGTTTCGTAGCCTCTTCAGCACTTCTTCCAGTCTCTCGGCGTGTTCCGTGGCGTCTTTCCCACTGATGATCACGTCATCTAGGTATGCGCACACGCCTGTGATGCCTGACAGCATTGTCTCCATAAAACGTTGAAAAATGGCTGGGGCTGCAGAAATTCCGAAAGGCAATCTCTTGACCCTGTATAGTCCCTTCAGCGTGTTCAGGGTCAATATCTCTGCTGTCTCTGGCGTCACGTGAAGTTGCTGGTACGCTTGTGCTAAATCCAGGGTGCTGAAGACCTTGCCTCCCCTCAAGTGGCTGAGCACTTCATCAGTTGAGGGAAGTGGGTAGTCTGCCTTCTTTGATACCTGGTTCACTGTGCAACGGTAGTCGCCGCATATTCGCAACGAGCCATTCTTCTTTCGAACCAGTACGAGAGGCGTTGCCCAATCCGAATGCTGTGCTGGCTCGATTATGCCTTGACTTTGCAGTCGATCCAATTCTGCTTCTACAGCTGACCGGAGCGCGAAAGGAACCGGCCGTGCTTTTAGGAACTTTGGTTTCGCTCCTTCCACGAGGTCTAGTTGTACCGCTGGACCGATGTGTCCTGATATGTCCTCGTCGAATACAGATTGGTACTTGTCGAGAAGCTTCGAAACAAGTTCATCGCCGGATACATCATTGATGCCCGTGATCTGTATACCCAGGTGAGGAAACCAGTTTCGTCCAAGGAGGTTACAACCTGCTCCCTTGATGACAACAAGTGGTAGTGTCATGGTTTTGTTTCCGTGCGTAACAATCACCGTTGCACATCCGAGAACTCGAAGAGACTGTCCTGACCATGTGCGTAGGAGCATGTTGTCGGTCTGAAGCCGTGGTCGATCATCTGTCCACGTAGCTTTGAACGTGACCTCACTGATGAGTGTGCAGGCTGCACCCGAGTCGACTTCAAAATCCAAGAACTTGCCATGTACGCGTAGCCGAGTCATGACCTTCTGTGTGCTGAACGCGTTGGTTACGGTGTTGAGCTCGTAAAGGGCCACGTCTGATGAGTCCTGCTGAGTCGACACTGGTGCTGAGGCAGCTGTCGAAGTTCCTTGTTGGGGATATTCGATGCTGTTGCTCGTTTTTGCTTCTTTCCGCTTTTTCAGACAGGCTTTTTCAATGTGTCCGCGTTTCTTGCAGTAGTTGCAGGAGACTGTCTGGAACTTGCAAGTGTCCGGATTATGTAGCGCGTTACAACGCCAACAGCGTTGTTTCTTCTTTTGGGCAGAGGCACTAGAGTGACCTTGGTTGTCTATCTTGCATGTGCTTATGCAGGATTCGTGAAACTCTTTAAATTCGGTTTTCACGCGTTTCTGGTCTTCGATGGCGTTTTCAGCTCGCAGTGCAAGGTCGAAAGCTTTCTTGAACGTCAAGTCCTTTTCTGCGAAGAGCCGTTGCTGGACCTGCTCGTTCCGAAGACCGCAAACGAAACGATCACGCAGCATGACGTCCATAGGCAGCATTGTCGGATTCGCTGCAGTGTCTGCGCTTGTCCCGAAATTGCAATCTGCTGCTAGCTTCTTGAGCGCCGTGACGTAATCACTGACCGTTTCGTCGTGCTTTTGGTCACGTCGCTGGAATCGTGCCCTGCAGAAGACCTCAGACGGTTGTGGATCGAAGTGAGCCTTGAGCATCTTGACTATGTCCTCGTAGCTCACTTGGTTGGGCTGCTTGGGTTGAACGAGGGCGCAGACGATGTCATAAGTCTGTTCCCCGCACAGCGTTAGCAGATGAGCACGTTTCTTCGATGCGTCCGTAATCTCGTTAGCCTCGAAGAAGAACTGTAGCCTCCCATACCAGGATCTCCAGGAGCTGGGGCTGCCGCTGAATTCGGGTAGCCGACCGAAGTCGGGCGTCGCCATGTTATTTCCTTGACGTCGGTGGAGTGCCGATGAGTCGATCCAGTCTTCCTCGTCGCCAACTGTTACGTCTGTACAGCCGCTTGTGACTGTAGACGATTTATTAAAGGACAGGAAACGTGAACAAGTTCAAAAGCGTAGCCCAGGCGTTGGAGTCACTCCTGGCCAGCGTTCGACGCCAGGCTCGCGCTCGTGCCACAGCGCCAGTGCCCCGCGCGCACTTCGTTAATGTCGTCTTCTAAGGCGACATGTCAAAGGGTAACTAACTGGATTCCCAGAGAAGGGAAGCGGGTTAGGGGGACACAGAAGGTTAGGTGGGCAGATGAGATTAAGAAGTTTGCGGGTATAAATTGGCAGCAGCAAGCACAGGACCGGGTTAACTGGCGGAACATGGGAGAGGCCTTTGTCCTGCAGTGGACGTAGTCAGGCTGATGATGATGATGATGATGATGATGATGATGATGATGATGAATTAGATTCTACACTGTCTTGTAGCGTTGAATGTAGTGTCAATTAATTTGTGTAATCAAATACGAGGCATTTGACTTCTGCAGTCGTTCGTCAGACCTTGACGAGATGCTTTCGTCCTGACCCCTTTTGGAACTGTACTATACTTTTTCGCGGAAGAAGCAACAAGCTATAATTTTTACGTGCTTCCCTTTTCATGTTTTACAGTCGCTTGCTGTCCTTAAGAGATGCAAGGTGCGATGTACGTACTCCAAGCTTCGGCACTTGTATGGCCGAGCCTATAAGTTTCCAGTGCAAGTGGAATTCGAAGCACCCGACCATGCACGCTGTGGCGACAGGACGGTAAGAAGTTCTCTGTACATGAAAGGGCAGACTTCATTGCGCCAGAAGCACGTTATGTTGGAATAGTTGGTGTAATACGCTAATTAACCAATTGAAAACGAAAAAATGAAAAAGGAGGACGCAACAAGAGAAAAGAATGCTTGTGCTCTCCCTTCGTTCCTTCTCGCACCACTGTCTCATTTTCCACAGACTAAATTTGTTCGTTAAAGCGTTAACATTGATTGTTTAACGAAGACCGAGGAAGTAATTCGTTGGTAAATGTTATATATACCGAGCTATGCAATAGGCTTCGCGGCTGCTGGAATGCAGTATTATTTGATATGTGGGGTTTAACCTCCCAAAACCACCATATTGATATGAGAGGCGTCGTAGTGGAGGGCTCCGGAAATTTTGACCACCCGGGGTTCAGTTCATTCATCATCATCATCATCAGCCTGACTACGTCCACTGCAGGACAAAGGCCTCTCCCATGTTCCGCCAGTTAACCCGGTCCTGTGCTTGCTGCTGCCAATTTATACCAGCAAACTTCTTAATCTCATCTGCCCACCTAACCTTCTGTCTCCCCCTAACCCGCTTCCCTTCTCTGGGAATCCAGTCAGTTACCCTTAATGACCAGCGGTTATCCTGTCTACGCGCTACATGCCCTGTCCATGTCCATTTCTTCTTCTTGATTTCAGCTATGATATCCTTAACCCCCGTTTGTTCCCTAATCCACTCTGCTCTCTTCTTGTCTCTAAAGGTTACACCTACCATTTTTCTTTCCATTGCTCGCTGCGTCGTCCTCAATTTAAGCTGAACCCTCTTTGTAAGTCTCCAGGTTTCTGCTCCGTAGCTAAGTACCGGCAAGATACAGCTGTTATATACCTTCCTCTTGAGGGATAGTGGCAATCTACCTGTCATAATTTGAGAGTGCTTGCCGAATGTGCTCCACCCCATTCTTATTCTTCTAGTTACTTCAATCTCGTGGTTCGGCTCTGCGGTTATTACCTGCCCTAGGTAGACATAGTCTTTTACAACTTCAAGTGCACTATTACCTATCTCGAAGCGCTGCTCCTTGCCGAGGTTGTTGTACATTACTTTCGTTTTCTGCAGATTAATTTTAAGACCCACCTTTCTGCTCTCCTTGTCTAACTCCGTAATCATGAGTTGCAATTCGTCGCCCGAGTTACTCAGCAATGCAATGTCATCGGCGAAGCGCAGGTTACTAAGGTATTCTCCATTGACTCTTATCCCTAACTGTTCCCATTCTAGGCTTCTGAAAACCTCCTGTAAGCACGCGGTAAATAGCATCGGGGAAATTGTGTCCCCCTGCCTTACACCCTTCTTGATTGGTATTCTGTTGCTTTCTTTATGAAGCACTATGGTAGCAGTTGATCCCCTGTAGATTTCTTCCAGAATGTTTATATATACTTCATCTACGCCCTGATTCCGCAGTGTTTGCATGACGGCTGATGTTTCTACTGAATCAAACGCCTTCTCGTAATCTATGAAGGCTATGTATAGTGGTTGGTTATACTCTGAGCATTTCTCTATTACCTGATTGATAGTATGAATGTGGTCAATTGTTGAGTAGCCTGTTCGAAATCCCGCTTGTTCCTTTGGTTGATTGAATTCTAATGTTTTCTTTACTCTGTTAGCAATTACCTTTGTAAATAGCTTGTATACTACAGAGAGCAAGCTGATCGGCCTGTAATTCTTCAAGTCCTTGTCATCTCCTTTCTTATGTATTAAGATGATGTTAGCGTTCTTCCAAGACTCTGGTACTCTTCCCGTCAGGAGACACCTCGTAAACAGGGTGGCTAGTTTTTCTAACACAATCTGTCCTCCATCTTTCAGCAGATCTGATGTTACCTGATCCTCACCAGCAGCTTTGCCCCTTTACATGCTCTCCAAAGCTTTTCTGACTTCTATTATTACTGGTGGAATGTAATCTGGGTTACTGCTAGTTCTTATAGTATTAAGGTCGTGGTTTTCTCGGCTACTGTACAGATCTCTGTAAAACTCCTCCGCTATTTTAACTATCCTATCCATATTGGTAGTTATTTTGCCTTCTTTGTCCCTTAGTGCATACATCCGCCTTTTGCCTATCCCAAGTTTCCTCTTCAATGCTTTGACACTTCTTCCGTTTTTCAGAGCGTGTTCAATTCTCTCCATGTTATACCTTCTTACATCGCATACCTTACGTCTATTGATCAAATTCGAAAGCTCTGCCAGTTCTATTTTGTCTGTTGTACTTGACACTTTCATGATTTGACGCTTCTTAATTAGGTTCTTGGTTTCCTGGGAAAGCTTGCCAGTGTCCTGTCTAACTACCCTGCCTCCAACTTCCACTGCACACTCCGTAATGATACTCGTCAGATTATCATTCATTGTATCTACGCTAAGGTTGGTTTCCTCACTAAGAGCCGAGTACCTGTTCTGCAGCGACACTCTGAATTCCTGTACTTTCCCTCTCAGTGCTAGCTCATTGATTGGCTTCTTGCGTATCAGTTTCTGTCGTTCCTTCTTCAAGTCTAGGCGAATTCGAGACCGTACAATTCTATGGTCACTGCATCGTACCTTGCCAATCACTTCCACATCCTGCACGATTCCAGGGTGTGCACTCATTATAAAGTCTATTTCGTTCTTATTTTCGCCATTAGGGCTCCTCCATGTCCACTTGCGGTTTTCTCGTTTTCGGTAGAATCCGGACAGGCCGCCATTGGAACCTGAACTTGGCAACGTTTAACGCTAGAACCTTATCTAGTGAGGGAAGTCTAGCTGTACTATTCGAGGAGCTAGAGGGTGTTAAATGGGATATAATAGGGCTCAGTGAGGTTAGGAGGACAGATGAGGCCTATACGGTGCTACAAAATGGGCACGTCCTTTGCTACAGGGGCTTGGCAGACAGAAGAGAACTGGGAGTGGGGTTCCTAATTCACAGAAACATAGCTGGCAACATAGAGGAATACTATAGCATTAATGAAAGGGTGGTAGGTATCGTAATTAAACTGAATAAAAGATACAAAATGAAGGTAGTACAGGCTTACGCGCCTACATCCAGCCATGATGACGCTTCAGTTGAAAGCTTCTATGAAGACGTGGAATCGGCAATGAGTAAGGTAAAAAACACAGTATACTATAGTGATGGGCGACTTTAATGCAAAGGTAGGGAAGAAGCAGGCTGGAGACCAGGCAGTAGGAGATTATGGCCTCGGCACTAGAAACGCCAGAGGAGAGCTACTAGTAGAATTCGCAGAACGCAATAATTTGCGGATTTTGAATACCTTCAGTTCATTAACGTGCACCCAAATCTGAGAACACGGGCCTGCGGCATATTCGCCTGCGTCGAAAATACACTCGCTATAGCCGGCATTCAATCCCGCGACCTGCGGGTCAGCAGCCGAGTACCTTAGCCACTAGAACACCGCGGCAGGGCTCACTATCGAGAAGCGCTGAGGGAGGTTCTGGTGGGGAGTAGCAGGGGCATGAGCTTTTTCCTCCTTTATGGGCAAGCTCATAGATATTGTAATGTTTCTTTTGGCGTTGAAATAAACTAAATTGTACAAAGTAGTGGTCGGCGAGACGCGAGCTTGTATAGACACATAAAAAAGCCAACCAAATAATTTTCTTTTGTAAAGGCATTATTTCATCTATTTTGTTTGGATTTCTTCAATGTCAATTAGAATATTGAGTACCTAGGACACAAACAGACAATTGTTTATGCTTCCCCAGGAGGGCAACGTTGTCAGACTAAGCAAAAGGCTTTTTAGAAACAAGAGATTTTGAAGATCACTTCTCGCGTCTGCAGCTTCCAGTGATGTGGTCAGTAATGTAGCTGTAACGATCGCGTAGCGTACTGTAACGTGGATAAGATGGTGAGGAAGACTTCAAGACTGGGAAACAGAAAACGTTTTATTTCGGTAAATTGTACTAATAACGGCAAGGAGAGTCGGTCGTCGGGTAACCGTGTTTGTGGTAAGGCGTGTCAGCATTTAAACACGCGGCATTAAAGGTTCTGGTGATGTCGCTGACCTTGCGGCAATTCTCGAGTAAACAAGACTATTCGCACCCGGAGCGTAATCTTAAAGGGGCTCTGAAACACTATCAGTTAACCATGGAATGAATTGACTGGAAGAGCTTATTGTCGTAGGAATTCAACGCCGCAAAAATTACGAATCCGCCCAGTACGAGTGGAGTTTGTTTGGCGCACGCGGCATTTGCGTTCTCTTCTCTCGTCCCGACAAAAGCGCTGGAAGCTAAGCAGGGATGGATGGCAGGGGCAAAGAAAATACGTCACCCGTGCATTGTGACCCTGAGCACTCCTTTATTTTTTTTTCTTAGGATGCGCAGCTTTTTCAGTGTGATCACGCGTGTTTGCGTTGACAAGTCGCAGCCTCCCGTGGCGATCTCTGTAACGATCTAGCGCGCAACGTTCAAGTCAGCCAATGACTGATAGATTGGATTACTAGGAGTGACTTTTGAGCGTCTTTTGTCTCTTGTCACGGGAAGAAAAAAGCAATTTTCAGCTGACTGATAATTTACTCTGTTTTCCACGCCACGTGCTGCGCTATATTTGGCTCGCATGTTGTCCGGAGCCTTTGTTACCGATCGGTAGCGCCTTCTGACCATGCTCAAAAAGTGTTGCAGGGTCCCTATAAAAAGATCATAACACTAAAATTTCCCTCAAAACGGTGTTATTTTGTGTAATACCTAATATTTCAGTATTCATAAACAAGCTGGTAAATGTTCAGCACATTCGGTCGAGGACTTAATTTATAATGACTATTTTCACAAACACGCGAGCGGGCCAAAAAGCCTGACAACCGTAGGTGTGCGCGATGTTCCCCTTCCCCAGGGGGGAGGAAGATTGTTCATCGCAGTGCCCCACTTCCCTATTTTGTCAATGTACGGGGCTAACTTCTCGCCATCCTCCACAGTCGCAGCGCCCCCTTTCTATTGTGTCTCTAACATAACGGGCCGCCTGCGTTGCTAGCGTCTGTATATCGGTGAGTGATATGGTTTCGAGAACGGCCACATGTCTGGAGCTACGTCAGCTTTCTTCAGGCTGGTTTTGGTACAAGACGACGACTCTACTCCTTATGCACACGACGTCATCCACGTGATGACAAAATGGCGGCTACCGGCAATAGCCGGGTTTTATAGCCGGCGACCTAGGTCCTAGGGCTCTTTAAAAATATTCTTCTACCTTCTATCTTTCATATATATACAGACATATGATCCGAGAAGGGCCAGAGTGCCCACCTGTACCACTAATGTATCGCAGATATGTATAAACACAGCCACTGGATAAAAAAAAAAAAACACTTTTTCATCCAATGGCCGTGGTCCAGACTCAACAGACCACCTCCTCCCCCTCTTTTTTTGCTGATAGCTGCCATCTGCTGGGCGATAACGTTAGGTCCCCTTTAATGCAATGATTTTAGACAATCGCGAGGGCTTCCTCAGCACGGCGACACAATCTGCACCGAATGTTCACATATAACCTTTTGTGGGTGAAACTCTAATACATAAAAAAAATAAGGCACAGATATGCATGGCAACATGCAGTAAATCATACTTATAAGAATGATCATCCCGTACCATATATCCCATCAATCGCATACAGTAAAGCACGCGCTAGTGATACGTTCTAGCGTGGTCCTTGCTTCAGTTCCCGCGCTTATAATATTGCTATAAGAAGTATGGTCAAAGGCGAAAAGTAAGCCCGACATTAGATAAAGAAGCAGCTGTGCCATTTGGTACCATATCTGTTTTTTTGTGCCGATTGGATCTTCTGTAATTCGTTTTGAGGAAATGTAGATCGCGCATTACTGATTAATTTAACGACCTTTCAAGGACTAAAACAGGTATATTTGGCGTCATGGTATTGTAAAGACAAAAATAGGACTTTCCTAGTAAACTAAGATCGATCCTGTTATGAACACCTTACCGGCACAAGGTATTATACGTATTACGATCTGCTGAAATAGCACATATTTTTTGTAGCGTTTGTGGATGTTTAGTCATGCAAGCCGAAGAAAATGAAGATAAGATTTTTAACATGTTCTCCCTCTCTCTGTTCCAACAGGTCTGCATACGAGGAATATGTGGCTTGAAATGAGACGGAAGACACGTATTTATAAAATACGTTTTTGTCAAACTTATGGGAAGTGAAAAACAATGCATGCACAACAATGATCACATTATGAACAATCTTATATTTTTTTGCAATGAATAAACTACGAGCATATATTAGATTTTTCATGAGTAACCGAGTCCTGCTTTCGCGGATGTACAGTAGTCAGCAATACGAGAGACATCAATGAAATTCACGTTTAAAAGTTCTTGCGGCTAAACACAGTTGGCAATAGAAAAAGTGTTCATAACATCTAAAAATAAAGCGGAAATGTACGTTCAGCAATTCAATACGACTCTTTTATACCGGTACATTACTAGCGATATTCTTGATTAAATACTACTCATGTGTTACCTCTCACAACTCTCACTACTCTACTTATCTCTACTTATGACAAAATAAATATATAGATGCTCGTGGCATTTGAATATAGTGGAATCACTTATTCATGAGTATAGAACAGCTCGTGATCAGACATCATCCCTGGAATTCATGATGCATGCCGCTTATGCCTAACTTAACAGTGTTCAGATACATAGGTAGCAGTTGCAGAACCCTACGCTTTAACATTGCAGAACGCTACGCTTTAAGGCACAATACAAACGCAGGCCATAGAAGTGTGGCAGCTTGGGCTAGTTGGTATGGCATGGCGATAGTTATAGCGCGAGAACAAAACGACGACACAGAGACTCCTTCGTGTCCTTATCTCTGTGTCGTCGTTTTATTCTCGCGCTATAAATATCGGCAGACCATAGCTTACAGAGGCCCGTAGCGAGGGCGGTGGGTTGTCTCAGGGTGCGTGGACCCTTCCACAAAATTTTCGATGGAGTGCTCACGCTACAGCAAAATAATACAAATAAGCGCTTTTCTCAAATTGTCAGAGCCTTCAACAACACGTCTTCCCCCCCCCCCCCCCCCTCCTAAAAAAATCTTGGCTTCAAGCCAGAATTTTTCATACTCTACAACAAGAAGTGCTCGCGTACAAAACAAAGAAAGGTGCTCACGGCTGGGACGCGTGCTTATTTCCTCCTTGAGACCTCTTCTCTCCGTAGGTTTGAGAGTGCTCACTGAAACGAAAAGAGACGAAACGTTTCAAGTGTGCGAAAAAGCTGCAACTCCGTACTTCACGCATTTTGAGAATTGTGTAGATCTATTCGTAAGCCGTCTTCTCGTAAGTATGAAGTAATGGCTTCAATAAATGGAGTCATTCGATGATTACTTAGAAAAGTGTTGCAGAGCCCTTTTGAATCCCAATATAACAACATTACACCACAGATGGATGCGCAGACAGTGAAAATACATATTAGACGAGTGTGAGTACGCGATTTGGTAATTCATGACGGGAAAGGTTACCGCGAAACCACAGTGGATACAGAAAGAAAAAAAACCAAGCTTCGTGTTGCCTCTCTCTGAGTATTTATTTATTTATTTTTATTTATTTATTTATCATATACTGCGAACCATTTAAGGTCCAAGCAGGAAAGGTACAGCAAGTTCAAAGGTAACACGTGGTTTCACGGTAACACGTGGAGTAACACGTGGTTTCGCGGTAACGTATGCTAAAAAAAAATACATCTCGGCATTCGAAAGTGCCGTCAAGAAATCGCAACGTGGCACCCACGGACAGCCTTTTACTAGCCTCGCTACGATGAGCACTGGCACCACTGCTCCCTAAATTTAAGACATATGATTACGTATGGACTGAAAGTGTCAGTTTTAACATACCTTTGCGCACTGCAAGCACTTTTAGTATCTATCCCTCTATCTATTGATCCATATATCTGATTACGTTTGGGTGCTCTCGTTATCACCCCTTTAATTTGTCGTGAGCCAAAACTAGGACAGCGGAATAAGGTGGTTTGACGTTTATGACGCGCTGGTCAAAACAGGAATAATGTCAAAATCCCATCGCGTACGTCGTCATACACTTGACGCCAGGCAGTGGCACATACCCGGGGGCGGGTATGTGCCAGTGGTATGCGGGTATGTGCCACTGGTGATCGAAGAAAACGAGAACTATTCTGTGTTTTCAAATGTTTTTAATAAGCTTGTCAACAGATATGCAAGGTGTTATTGATAAGGTGGAGTATACCATAGAGAAAACTTCGACTCTTCTGGGTTATTTAGCGTGCACCTAAATCAAAGTAGATGGGCCTCAAACATTTTGGCTTCCACTGCCAACGTGGCCTCGATGGCGGGGGGATTGCTCCTGCAACTTTAGGGTCAACAGCCCGAAGCACTAAATCCACTGCACCACCGGGGCAGGTCGGACTATGCAAGACAATTTAAATCATCTAATTTTTTCTTGATGAAGTATCTCTAAGAGCACTTTGTCGCCGGAAATAACCACAAAGAAATGCCTTAAAGTAATCTTGCAAGCCCATACAGCTCACGTTTTCAAGATTACTACATCAATGACGAAATGAATATAAATTATTCAATCACATTATGTGCTATATTTAGATGTTTGACGAAAATAAATGCGACAAATAAAAAAGCTAAGTATATATGAGTAGGAATTTGGGCGTGATAAAACAATTTAACTCAATTTGTGCGTGCTAAAGCCGAGGTGCTCGCAGCAATAGAAGATTTAGTCAGGAGATCTCTTTGGTCGTAACAAATGGTAGGATGAGAAGTGTAGAATGAGCAGCCATAACCAGTCAAACCTGCTTATAACACGCAACACACAAAGCTCCCACATCGATACGCTTATAACTAAATTGATCATTAAATATAACTATATACCTATAGCACTTAGTAATTACTTGATAAGTACATTCAAAACACTTGGTTTTGTTGCAGCTCTTACATAATGTCAATTTTGTGTTACATGGACTTAAACTCTTCCACAAATAAAACAAACAAACATTCATTTTATTTGGATAGCATGAGCATTTCTCGTATAGACGAGAGAAAGGAAGTAGTCTGCCTATAGAAAGTAAGAGAATGCTTCCACAGGTGGTTTATTTGTAAATTCGAGTAGAGGCATCAAGGAACTTTGAAGAAGATGCCACTGTACCGATCGTCAACACCATCATTATCATGGTTGGTGTCATGACAATTGCCTTTAATTTGTTTTATTCGAAAATGCACACATCTGCTTGGGAACACAGGTTTGAGGCTCAGTTACAGATAACATAAAATTTTACAGCAGCCAGGTATGTCACAAACACGAACAGTTGGTTTATTTTGACTCTACATAGCTATAGATAATAACGGTGATGTTTTTTGAGTATATGAAGGAAGCAACCATTTTCTCATGTCCTATAGCCTAATAACAATTTTCCTAATCTATATTCTAGGTGAAACATACGTAAGGGTTTCCACGTCAATGTTTTTTCTGTTATTTTGTCAAACGAATGGTCAGTATGAAATCAGAATCAATGCTATATCTTACTTCAGTGTACAACCTGCGCACTTCGGTCTAAAAATGGCTTAAGCATGACGCGTCATGGGATTTTTACTTCTATGCATTGTGCGTTTGATAACTATTAAATGCACGTTAACGTAACACATTTGTGTAAAACACACATACGGAATAGTAAAATCGTGAATTGGCATTCAGCGCGTGGCCGTGTCATTTGGTTTTATGCCACTTCGCGTCCTACCTCGTATTTGCCTCTTGCGCTATTGTAACAATAAGGTTATTAGTCATGAATTTTTCACATAATGTTTGTACGTTCAAGGCGATGCTAGCGTGATTTTAATCAATTGTGCACTATACTCAGTTTAATACATCGTGCGGAACGCAGTGGAAGCTATGTAAGAAGTTGTGCCACCAAAATGTGTAATCCTGCGCGTCCTGCGCTTGCAATTCGTAGTGGTAAACGCGACTTTCGTGATCAGCTCCGGCTACACATTATCGGTGCTAATCATTCCAGAAGAAATACGCTAAGCAATCCTAAACAATCAATTGACAACCGCATAACTGGGGTGGTTTATTTCAAAGTACATCCTGAAGTGTTACCCAGTATAAAAAATACATGTTAGGGGCTGTAAAATATTTAAACTATTTCTTGCTATGAATGCATCTACTGCAAGAAGACTTGCTTGTTTCCGCAGCATTTAGCTCATGTGAAAAACAGTAGAAATCATAGCACCGGCTTGCCTTTGGCTTTTAGCCCTAGTTGAGAACGGAATTCCAGTGAAGGCTCGTTCGAAAACATTACCGAATTCCGGATACACCGCACACGGCTGCACAGTGAAACAGGGAGAACCATGATATCTGTTTGGGAATGCTTTAGGACGCTCTCAGAATTAGCTGCACTCAGCTGTGCAATAATAGAGAGTGCGTAGCACTATACCACTTGCCATTTGATCCCAGGTGAAGGACATTTTTAACTGTGTATTGAAGTGGTTTTATACTCATGTACTGCACACGTCTATGATATTGTGTGATGCTGACATTTTCATTTATTTTTAATTTAAACGTTCCCAATGCGATTTGCAGCGCTACAGAGAGGAGCGGTGTTACAAGTCAGTAAAATCAGCCTTGAATGATGCATGATCGGGTTCTCTGGCGATGCAGGCACGAAGGTGGTTCCATTCAGATGACGTCTTGGGCACGTACGAGTGGAAGTACGTGCTGGTAAGGCAGAATGGCACATGAACTTTGAAGTTGTGGTCGATGCGAGATGAAACGTATAAAGATGGCGAGAACAATGTCCGTTTTGTTTCAAGATTCGTGAAAAATGTTCGTGGAAGAGGCACAGGTTGGCCTGCTTCGTTCTATTAGGAATGTTAAGGAGGCCAAGAGAAGTTTTTATTGATGAGATACTAGCAGTGCGGGAGTAATTAGCGACCACGGAACGAGGTGAGCGATTGTGAATGGCTTCTAGTGTGTTAACAAGGGTGCAAGAAGAATTTCAGACTGATGAGGCGTAGTCGAGTTTAGATCTGACTAATGTTTTATAATGAAAAAAGTTTTAATGGAACAGGTGCTAATGAAAAGTTCGGGTGCAAGAAGCCGAGTGCAATTCAGCATTAAAATGCACACTGACGTAAACTGTTTGAGCTTAATCTCGCGGATAAGTACAATCAATGAGGCATTCTTAATCGGTTTCTTAAATACAGTGACAGCTCTGCAAGGGCTCTTCCTACGTATCTTCTCTTTCTCCTTTCTGCAGTGTCACTTCTCCCTCAGCTGTATTACGGAAGAATCACCGTGCATAAGCATTTTCGAATATTTGTATCACTGATCTTGTGTATCTTGAACAATGTGACCAATAGAGATTCCTCTGAAGGTTATGTATGGAGTGTGCAAGCAAGCGAATCTTAAGTTGGAATGAAGCACAGGCAATTCTTCCAAAGTGGCCCTGCAAATGGTATTACATGACACCTTCAAAACTGATGCGGTGAAGTGGTTGAATGAAGTGGTCTCGGTTCTTAGGCCCATACACAGTCTTAAAGGAGACCTCCCCCGTTAATTATCGCTTTGAACCTGTGATTACCCCAACTGACCGGCGCCATCGCGGCACCACTGAGACAGTGCATGTCTCGCATATGAAGCCTTTTACAAGGCGCTCTCCACACCTTCAAGTTGCGGCCAGTATGACCGCTCTCATTCACAGGAAATGAGTGAGGGCATTTGCAAGACTATTCCTCATAACCTGTGCTTAACCATTATCACATCGCGTTCTTCATCGTTTGTGGTAACATCTCTTGAATCGGTCCTGCGCCTGGGATGTGGCTTGTGTGACCACGTCTTTGAGGCCTAATAAAGGCGTGTAAAGTACTATGTCGCGATATATAAGAATCTTAAATTAGGCGAGCTGATCACCGTAATCTGTTGCACGTAAAATACTGTGACCATTCTCCGCCCCTAAATATCCATAATGATAACCTGTTGCCATGCACCTTTGCGCTTACTTTGAGACGTAGCTTAGGCATTGCGTACTCTGAATGTAAAGGAACAAATATCGTTGAAGAGCTCTCGTATTTGAAGCCCAAAAAAGCATCACGTTGAAGTTCTTGATGACCTATTTAGGCAGCTGATTTTAATTTCTCGTTTAGCGTCTCGCTACTGCGTCTAACTTTTTATTGTTCTTGCCACTCTGTTCGTATAAAGTTTTAACATTGAAATGTCATTGGTGGAATCGTCACGAAATTTATGCACATGAATATTCTCTTCAGGCGATCATTTGCTAAAATCCTTATGTACGGTAGGTCAACCTTTTGTGTATCCCCGTCAGCTGATAGATCGTTAAGGTAGTCTCGCTCAAATGACACGACCTCTGAGTGTCCATTACGGATAAAATGGGTAGGCGATTGCTAGCCGGTTATACCTGGCTCTGAAGCTGGAACAGAGCACATGACAAGATACACGGAAGCATGGCAGCCTCATCGTTGAAATACAGTGTACTCTCTCTAGCCTGCTTTTCTGCTCTCACGATACACTTCACCGAAGGTGAGATGGTCTAATTAATTATTAATAAACATATCTTTAAAACTATTGTAGCTTTATTTGAAGGTACTAAGCCCCTGGTCAGGTACTCTATGACAGCTAGGACTGAAAACTTCGCTTGTGAAAGGCCATATATCACAGCATGCATTTAAAGAAGGGGAGGTAATATTAAAATTAAGGTTATGATATTCATTATATTGTGTGCCCGAACACACTTTGTGCGTAGTAAACGTTAATTTCTAGTATTTTAGGTGCTGAAACCATCATATTATGTATGAGGGGCGCCGTTCTGGAGTGCTAGAGAAATTTAGACTGTATGGCGTTTTTTAGTGTGCACTTACATAGCGCACTACACGGGCTTCTATTATATCGCATTTATATAAACGCGACCGTGGCTTCCGAGATCAAACCTACGATTTCAGATTCGACAGAGGAGCACCGTAACCACTGTAGCACCATAGTGGGAAACCCAAATGAAGTTGTAGTTGAAAGTTCAACAGGTTACAATTGTTTTCTTATTTGTGGGACGTAATTGGAGGTAACTTTTTTTCGAGACGGTAGCAGGTATTCGGAAAGCCCAGTGAAAGTGTGGAAAGCCTCTCGACTGATTTAAACAGTAGACAGACTCAGTACAGCAGCTTTAAGCTCCGACATACAGTGATTACGATAGAGTGGAACCACTATACCAGTATATTTGTATTAGCAATAGTATAGTATTAACAGGTAATAAATGTAGACGAAATGGTAGAGGTCCACGTACTGTGCCATGTCAGTACACGTTAAAAACACCAAATGATCAAACTTTCCAGAGCCCTGCACTACAGCGTCTCTCAATGATAACGCAGTTTTGGGGCGTCAAACCAAAGACATAATATTAATCGTAGGTAGTAGAAAGGGATGGTCCTATGTACACTGCCATCACGGGGTGCCTAAGTGCTATTGTAAAAAAAAGTGGGGAGCGACTAAAGCTTCCCTTTTAAAGTTGGACGCGATAGCGGTATTGTGTCGTTAGTGCGTATATACTTCAACCACTTAGTGCAACTTGTTACTGCATGACGTGACCGCAGAAGTTTTGAATGTGGGTTACTATAATGTAATAAATAAATTTGAAGGCGACTCGCGTCAGTGAAAAGGCAGCGTTTTGTGTGATGGGCAGCATGCTTCAAACAACAAAAAATAATGCGCCTAAAATGTCTGGAACTTGCTATGCGCCGTAAACTGTGTGCCTTTTGTAATCGGTCGCCGGTTTTAAACCGCGGCGTCGTTATGATAACCACATGTTCTGACGTCCGATAGCAATGTGCGCATGTACTACGAAATGTTACTGCAATATTAAATGTATTGTGAAGCCTTTATACAGTAGGCGTATGTTTGTAAAGCATGAACATTACTTTCCCCGCATTTCCAAGCAGAGGAAGTTATTTTTCCTGCATTTCCGAGCAGACACGCGGCTGTGTGGTAGAACACCTGGTTGCCAGACAAAGGGCTCTAGTTTGATCCTTGCTCTAAACCCGGAAATTATGTTATTTGCTTATTTCAACTTTTCGGTCACGAACAAGATGGTTTTTTGCTCACATCTAATGACACCGACACCACGCCGAAATATCTGCTAAAAAACCCCGGCTCTGAGTGGCCCCCGAAAGACAAAGCTATGTAATGGGGAAAGAATTTCACAATATTTCTAGGGGAAGCGCTTTACTGTTTGAAGCGAGGTGCCTTGAAACGCGTAGTTACAAAATTATATTCACTAAAGAAGAACAATGCACATGCACTGGGAACAACGAAGCATGTCCTCATCGTATGCGAGAATATCTACACAGGGGTACGCTTGGGCACGAGCTACATGAAAGTTTGCGTTTAAGGAACCACAATGAAAAGTTGAACCTGCCCACCATAGAAGTAAGTAAGAAAGAGAGTATTGGTGGCACAAAACTGCAAGGAAAGAAAAATGAATGCGGGAAACATGGTCATTCTGCCATAAACGACAGAGACCTGTAGTGTGAATTGCTTTTGTTTCTTAATAGCAAGATTGATTTTATTGAAGTAGACGAGTCATAATGCCAACTAAAGAAATCTTTTTCTTTTTTGGTGAATGGTACGCGCCATGCATGTCGACGCCCCAGCATAGAAGGGGCGCTCAACGCATCCATTGATTTTATATTTGGTGTTGTAATAATGTCCACAACGTACTTAAAGTGTTACACCCAGAAGAAAAATATCATTAAGGTAGTCAGCAAACACTATACTTTTGTTAACTTTGACGACTTCCGCACTCATTTCTTGAAACACCCGAGTGAAGACGCTCGTAACACTCTGAATATACAACATCGTCTTTAAACATTTTTTGTGAAGTATCAGTCGCATTTTGTACTCTGGAACTACAAGTGCGGAGGACATTTGATCACGTAGTTCAATGACGGCATTTTGACCGCAACTGTACTCGAAAGCAAACTCTTTGAACTTAATCCAGTGTAAATGTTAAAGTAAACTAATCAACCCTTCATATTCTGTTCACATTCAGGGACGAATCAGCGGGGAAACTTTTCATCGAATGTCATAGCCTTGACTTTTCTTAGAATACTTTACCCTCGTTTTCTAATCAATGCAGGCATTATTGTGTTCGTTGTCTTCATCGAATGCAGTTCGGTGTTAACATACGTGAGCAGCAAAGGACGACATTGAGCGTGTTATTGATTTCTGCATTCGGTCATCATGCGCTTAGTAGGCTTGGTCATACTCATAATACTTCCTTCAGAAGGTAAGGTTATGACTTTTTTCTCACAAGTTTAAAGTCACATTAGGTTTTACTACAAATTCTTGCTATTTTGCTATTCTTACTATTTTGCTGGCCCATAGGCCAGCAAAATATTTGGAGCCCACCCAGGCTAAGTCAAGAAATAGATTTTGAGCTTAAAGCCCTCTGGAACTCAAGTTTATCAAAATTATTCTCAACCTCACTATATCGAACTCGAACTCACCAAAACATCACCCACTCAAACTCACGGCCTGATGTGAATATAAGAGAATCAACTCGTGAATTTGCTGAATTATGGCAGTAACACACAACAAGTATACTGCTGTAGTAACCACCGAGCAACAACGTGTTTGGAGTCCATCAAGGAAATAGCCAAATCCCCACAAATCTTGGATCTATAGCTATGTATGAAGGAAGAAACAATCCCTGAATACAGAATGTCACCGAAGTCAACGTTTGGACAGGCAGACCCCTCTTCGTCAATGCAGCAAATGGCATACTAAGTCAAACCATTGGTTCGCACTAGGATGAAACATAGCATGGTACAAGCAGGATGCACCTCCTTGGTACCTTTACGTTTCCTTCTTTCTCTTTTTATCCCTCATTCCTCTCTCCTCCGTGTAGGATAGTGAACCGGACAGGCGTCTGATTGACCTTCCTGCTTTTCCTGTCTTCGTTCCTTGGTGCATAGCTACTGGAATTCGTGGCACTCCGTCAGTTTCTGTTTTGTCTTCTTTTTTAAGTGCTTAGTAATTAAGGGGCCAGGCTTTCTCATTCATAGATTTAATATGGCGTGACCATGCTCACAGTAAAGCACTCAATACAAGTCATAATGCTATCAAGGCTAAAAAACGATTAAAACAAAGAACAAAGTTCAAAATAGTATGATTATTAGAAATAACCAAAAAGCAATCCCAATATAACAAGATTGCAAAAAATGTGCCCGAAACGTGCGGTTGACTTCAGCACCACGCAAGAGGGGGCACCGTCATCTCGACAGGCACACAATGTCCTTTCTCATCAACTCTTCTTTAGAGGTGCACTTGCAAGTTGGAAAACCTGACATAACTTGCTGCAGATGACACGTGGCTAAACCACGGGAACAAGCAGGAAGTTCATAAAGTGCATGGCGAAAAAAATAATGCTCATGTAGCACACCACGTTTGTGATTATCTCCCCAACGAGAGAGTACTCGTGTTGAGAAAACCTTACATGCTTGCCCCAAAACACTGACGTCATCGACGGTTTCGTTAACGGAGCAGTGGGAACTCTACGATCAAGAATAGCTGTGTGCCCGTGCTAAGCATTTTCTCAGATTCACAGTATAGTAGAATTTAAAACACCGACAAGCACTACACAATGAAGACTATTTTCATCCTTGCGTCACGTTTTTCAAGCAGTAGCTGACTTCCTGAGTAGGGTGTTTACGTACGTTTTGCATACGTAAACGTGCTGCAAAACGTGCATAGAGACATTGCCATAGGAACTAGTTGCTGCTTTGAAGAATACAAGTCCGAATGTCGAAACTTTGGCTTCAGCGATATTTCCTGTTCAAGGATTGCTTAATCACTTCTATTCTTCATGTTACCCAAACTTGTTGAAAGGCCTCGTTCACCTTTACAGGCTAGGCAGCCGTTATTACAAGCCAACGGTGACATTTCTTAACCAAACTTGTACTAACTCAGTGCCCATTCCATTTGAGACTGTCAAAGCGGTTCTGTTAATGTTTGTTTTAGTTGATGAGATACAAGTTGTTGGCGTAGAAGTTGAGCTCCAGTTGCGTCTTGGATTTTTGATTGACTAGTTGTACTAGATAGGCAGCTTTGGTATCGATGTAATTTTGAAGTTTCGTGACGTAAAAACATTGATTGATATGTCGGTTTTAACATCCCAAAACCACCATAAGATTATGAGAGACGCCATATTGGAGGGCTCCGGAAATGTTGACCACCTGGGGTTCTTTAACGTGCACCCAAATCTGAGCACAAGGGCCTACAACATTTCCGCCTCCATCGGAAATGCAGCCGCCGCAGCCAGGAATTGAACCCGCGACCTGCGGGTGAGCAACCGAGTACCTTAGCCACTAGACCACCACGGCGGGGCTTGTGACGTAAAAAACAAGAAATGGGAATGAAGTTCGTTAGATTGTTACAAACAACCTACCATTTTGTTTAAGCTTACCTAAAAGTTACAATTTCGTGCATGGGTGACCTCGTTGTTTCCTTACTTCGAACATTGATAGCAGTAACTTCCGCTACACTGACCCTGTAGCCACCGCCATGCTGAATAAAATGACAGTACCAGCTTCACAACGTTTACTTTAAAACAGGGTTCAGAGTATTTCTCTCTTGTGACCGAGAGATTAGTTCGTTCGACAGTGCACTGAAGTTCTCAAAGCTATTTCAGTAACGGAGACTCGTATGAACGTAATTCAAGGAAAGAGCCTTATGATGACTCAGAGAAAAAATATGTCGTGATTATGAAAATACATGAAAAATACCGGACAAAAATATCAGTGCTTGAGGCTTGGCGAGCATCGCACCCCCTTTGTCTTTCTGGCATTCGCGTTAGTAAAGCAATAAAAAAGTTACTGCGGTCTTTCATGAATTCGCAGTAAATTTAGCGGAAGGTGAAATCCATTTTCTTATCAGTCGACTGTAGTTACCCCCTCCGCAACTCTCTGCTTCAGCTGCCAATGGCGTTTGGCACTGCATACTGGATCGGCGCTTCTTAGACCATGCGAAGACGTCATGTGACAACTCCATCATGTGACGTCCCAGTGACGTAATGGTGTCGGCAAACTTTCAGGTGACATATGACGTCTTGACGACGCCATAGACTGGCCTATGTGACGTCAACACGTGGCGTTATGACACCGTCATAATCATATGTCACTTAATTTTTCGCAACACTCCTTCTCACGCCGACTCACTTTTCACATTTGAGGAGGCATCTAAGCCCATTACTGCAAAGATCGACGAACGCTTGACTCGCCCTTCTGACGGCTACAGTGTGCAGCACGTGGCGAAGACCTGTGCAGATGTGGCTTTGAGGGCAGACTTGGTCTTTGCATGCGTCAATGTGCGGTGTCTACCTATGCACGTGTCAGACGTCGTCCCCGACGTTAGCTTGCCATATGCCAAAGTGCTTTGTCTTCCGGAGACATGGATAAGCCGAACACATGAAATTTAATAAATTAAAGGCCACTAGTGCTTTGTGGACTTGTGTTTAATAATGATTTTTGTATTCATCCTTGTAAGTCTACATACCTAGTCATCTTCACAAGTTCATAGGGCACCTTGTACGCTCTTTCATGCTTTTACGAGGTGCAGGACTTGCACTAGTATACGATTAAGATAAATGAAAAGCAGTTTGAAAGACTCATCTCTATTTCATAATCACTCAAATTTCATTCGGTGCTATCTTTTTGTATTATTTTTGTCGAATTTCATACATACAGTTCTCTTTGGTTAGCCTATTCTGTAATAGAAAAAGTATAATCTTAGTTGCCCTATATGAATCGCGTGGTTGATCTGTTGTCATGACCAGTACTTGTAGAAAAGGGTAACTTGTGTGTGCTGCCTTACAGACAAGTTCAACTGATTTCTTTGCCTTGACAAGTGCTTCTGTCTCTAAATATTGTAATCACCGTGTTTGTGTACGTCTGTTGGCGCACGTGTTCGTGCCACCACAAAAGCGTAACATGAGGTAGCCATCGTGGAAAGAATATAGGGCAACTGCAGTTGCAGCAACTAATAGCCATATCATGCAACGGGTGCTAGTAAAGGTGGATCGAACATATGCACCATCATACCCCGTATACTTGGACTATTTTATGTAATATTGGAATAACTTGGGCTTATGATGGGTAATGTCCATTAGTGTTACCTCATGTTAGTTGAATAATACAACTCTAAAATGTTAAAATGTTACGTATTATTTGGGAATTCGCAAACAGGGAGATTCTGCTTCGGCATTGTAGTAAAAGCATGAGGTGGTGTTCAGACTGGCGTTGCGTTAATGCGACAGTCTTCGAGAGCGCGTTTCACCTTTATACCGGTGTCCGCGCCCTTCACTCAAACTGAAAATGCAGCGTTGCTCGCAAGCAAAACATTAAAATTGATGAAATTAACAAAAATAAACATCTTTGGCCAGAGTAAGAATCATAAACCAGGCCGCCTGCGTGGAAAGAATGTTTTACCACACAACCACACTATTGCGGTGAACTGTGTCCAACACAACACTATGAATATCCTGTAACTGAAGGAGACCCCTTCAAGCATGCAATATTACGTGGCAGAAGTGTAGAACTGCACCAGGCGTCACAAAGAGTGAAATGCACCAATGATTGGTTTAATTTCCCACCCATGACACTGCGCTGAAATATAACTGATAATAATCACAACAAAAACGTCAACAAGGTCAACCAATTCGTAGGTTTGCGATCTACCTCACGGACACGTAGCGGTTGCTTCGCAGATTCGTAAACGGAGCAGTTACGACGTAGTAGGCACTTCAGAAATGCACTTGCAGTAGACGCTCTATGATAGCTTTAAACGTCCAATGTAAGTAGCCTACACACTCCTGCTCCTGCAGAAATGGTCAACAAGAAGCGAAGCGAGGCTACCAACTGGGAAAGCAGACAGAACGGGGCCCAATCACGCTATCGCGTTCTACTCTTGAGGCGTAGCGCAGGCGTCCTTCAAGATTACTACGGTCCTCGTTGGTATGTGGTCTAGTTTAAGTCGAAATTTTGAAGTGCAGACTTGAGAGGTCATGGTGAATGAAACTTACAGCACTCAACTATATATGACTATATATAAAAGTATCCATTTATAGTATCTATATATAAAGTATCTATATATAAACTATATAAAAAAGTATCCATTTTGCCACACATAGCTCCTGCAGGCACTGCGATGAATTCGCTGGTCTAGACCACACGCTCTGGCGTTGCCCATCGTTACGGGGCACAGACCAATCCAACGAAGACAAGTGGCCATCCGCGATAAGCTGTGGGTTGTCCAGAAGGCCCACAATTACGGTCGGGCTTGGCCTGACTGTCCCTAGGTTGAAGCAGCGCGTTTCACATGGAGTCGTGTACCTCAGGACTTAAAATACAGTTTGACATTCATTCATCGCATTTATGCATAGGCCTCTCCTAAATATGGGTGTAAATGATATTTAGCATGTCAGGTCATTACGCACGTATATGGTGGCATTAATTGTGATTTTTTTATTCCCAATTCCTGATGTAGCCATACATGGGAATTTTTATACAGATCCATTTGCATAATTTTGGCAAAATGCGACGCATTGGTGAAATTCTTGGAGACAAAAATAGGGGAGATCGAAAGTGATGTAGAGAGAGAGAGAGAAAAAACGTGAAAGAGGGAGCACACAATATCGCTATCAGTCTATAACCACAGGTTATAAACCGATAGCGATATTGTGAAGGCGGTGAGTAGGAATTCGTGAATACTTGTGCTTCTCTTCTCACGTTTTCTCTCTCTCTCTCTCTCTCTCTCTCTCTCTCTCTCTTTCTCTCTCCAACTCCCTTTCAATCTCCCACACCCTTTTCTGCAGAGTAGTGTAGCATAACAGTGTTTCTAGGCTAGTTAACATACCCCATTTTCCTCTCTCTCCAGTTTCTTCCTTTTTTTACTGCCAAGCTTCGACGCCTTACTAGATTTTCTTATGAATCCTTACAAATTAGCTCGGCTTTCTGCTGTTCTAAGGTGCAGCTTAATACCTATTCATCAATTTATTGATAATTAGTTAATTATTGACTAAAACGATCGGAATACCTTCTCATGCAGGCTCCGAAACGCCTAGGCGTGTTTACCCGAGGCTCCTTGAAGAGCGGTCGTCAGATGGACGCATCGCTATGCGCATTCACGAGGGCCTCACGCTGAACTTGAGACGGGCCACGGTTGCGGCACCAAAGGTTCGCGTATTGGCGGAGGAAAACGGCAGAGCTGTAACGCAGTTTGTGAGTGATCCACTTTGTCAACGAATTCACCAAATCAGGCTCTAATGTTTGCCGAGAATCATCTCGTAATGTCCGTTATTACGTATATTATGGATATTATTGGGCCGGCTTAAATGTTAACACGAAGGAGGTAGTGGTAATTTGAAATTACGTTTTACAACACTAAGCCGAATGCGTACGGTCACCCAAATCTCTGTCGTGCGTTGCAGTGACTTTTCCGCGTGTCAGCGCCTTCTGATAACACGAAGTTCCGAAAATGTTCAACAAAATAATAGCAGTATCTGGGACCTGACATACCAAAACCACGACATAATTATGAGAGATTCCGTAGTGGAGAGCTCCGGAAATTTCGACCACTCGTGTCTTGTTAACTTGAAACAAAAATCTAAATACATGGGCGACTTGCATTTATTCCACGATTGAAAAAGCAGCCACCGGCGCCGGGATTCAATTCAGTGACTTTCGAGTGCCATAGCCACTAGACCACCGTGCCGGGGCAAAAGATTCTTATGTGGTCATGTGGTATGTGGACTTGCATTTGCCTTCCCCCTTTTCGGGGGAGAGCAAATATACTAAAAACACTAATACACTACACTAAAAACACAGCCACTAAATATACACTAAAAACACAAAATATACACTAAAAACACAGCCGCTCACGTACTGTAGCTAAATATTTGGGATGCTGTACAACTCCCTCTGTATGCTGCCTTCACACCGATGGAAATGGCGAAAATTTTTTATCCTGCATGAGAAACGATAAACTTGTGATATCCAAATTTAGAGAGAAATTATACTTAAAACGATTGTTTGAATAACACGCGCTTTTTTCCTGTTTTTCACTGGTCATCTGAAATTAAGAGTAAAACACACTGTCAAGAAAAAAAAACGTCTTTTCACTGAGCTTATCTTCGATGTGGCGTCACATTTGTTGCGAGCAACCATGTGACAGTGATTATTTCGCAGTATGACGGTGAAGACATCAACAAGAATCTGTACGAAGATGAAGTGCAACTCGCCACCGTAGAAGTAATCAAGAGTGCTAAGGGAGTGAGCATGGTACGTACAAGTTAACTATAGGTTAAATTATTGTTTTTATTTGAATAAATGATAGTTATATGTCACGATAAAAGAAAGCTACAACGATAGTTGGGAATGTTATCAAACAGGACGCTATTTTGTGTTTACACTTGCGCTAAAAAACAATATTTTACAACTTTAAGTCATCTTGAATATAAGTTGACCATCTGAAATCTAACGACAAAAAAAGGCGTTCTTTTCATAAAGAAAATTTTTTTGAAATACGGCTGTAAAAACACCATTTGTAGTGCGCAAAGATGGCTAAATGGCAGTACTTTGCAAAATATGCATAAAAGCTGGTTTTGCGACAATACTTGGTGATCATTTTCAGAAATTATTCCGTGAATAGTTTCAGAGTTTCCACACAGAAAATATGCTATATGTGGCAAGTAAAGTCGGAACGTGAACATAATGTTCTAACTATGCCACAGCACGCTTTATTTCTTGACCTCAGAACCAAAGCTGCTAGTTCGGCATTTCAAATTGAGACAAAATGGGTCGACCTGGAATTGTGTGAATACTGCAAGTCGACAACGGCGTTTCTGTTGGCCTCTCGTTAGTGGTTTTCGCTGATCACCACTTCCACCCCCTGTGCATCAGTGTCGGTCACGCTTGCTACGACCCATGGGCACCCAAATGGCGCATGCCTCAACGACCATTGCCACAAGTTCATGCTTTCATTGCGATAGCAATTATACGGACACTCTCGCTTGGATTTCGCCGCCGGCGTCAGCGTGGGCGTCGACATCGATGTCATGCACCGTATATGTATACGTATCTATATATATGAAAACGCAAGGAAGAAAAAAAATCACAGAAAAAGGACTCCGGTACACGGAATCGAACGTGGGACCTCCCCATCATGAATGCGAGGCGTTAACCACTGAGCCACCGAGAGGTACTTCCTCCAACGTTGAAACGGCAAGCTATTCATATCTACCACCTACCGCTGTTGGCGGACATCTCGAGTGGGAACTATCGTGTTTTCAGCATTATCAGCAAGATGGCGCAGTGAGCGCGTGGCGGCTCTCATATCTCAAGCGCACCCTTATTTTGCAGTAAAGAGAATCGCACGCCTTGGCTGGCCTTTGAGTTTCTTTGGAACGATTCTGTTGTAGTTACCGGGCACGCAAAGGTCACTGCAATCATTGCACAGCCCCCGTTTGCGATAAGGGCACGCTTTTAAGATACAGCGAAACAACAACTGAGACGCTTATTCACGTCAATCTGTACATGTGAGTACATTTCGTGCGTCCTTTGTGCGTGAGAAACGTGGAGCACGTTTTGGTCTGCCTGCCATTCTGCGCGTGATTTTCCAATTTGTTGCTATCGCATTCATTGCTCCATCTTTGAGGCAAAGCTGTGACTTTTTCTTCATGCCGTGCCGCTAAGCAAATCAATCTGTTCATCAGAAAGGCGAATATAACAGACAGAAGTGTACATTTGCCCTCAACTTAAGGTATCTGCATAGTCAAGCGCAAGTAGCTGTCGCATTTTATAGAGGTAACTGTTGCCAGTTACAAGCTAAAAAATGCGCGCTCCCCCCCTACCCAGAGGAAAATGCCATAGATATCCCATGCAACAATAGCTAATTTCTATGTAGTCCAATCAATCAGTCAATCAATCATATTTTCTTTTCGCACTGAAAAAGAGGAGACAGAACTCAAAGATGTTGCAACTTGACAGGGGTACTGCCCTCTTTAACAAATGACAGCAGCATATTGCAAAAATAGGATGAATAAGCGCAAGGCATTTAAAACAAAGTAATGCGCGAGACGAAACATAGTATGAATATGAATAGAGAAAGTATGTATGCATACATATTCAAGAATGGGCAAAAAGTCTGTACGTAAGTATGAAAATGTGGATAATGCGTATATACACTTTCATACCCAATACGCACGCATATTCAAACAGTACACATCGGGTACGCAAGGTGTACACTCAAATTATTAAAAAAACTGGTAATATACGCATGTATACCTTTCCTGATAACATGTTGTACATGATTTGAACACAAGTGAAAAAAAAATAAAAGCACACACAACGTTAGTAATCTTCCTGGCACAATTGACGAAATAGTCCTATTGCTTGGTTGGAAATTCACAGATCAAGCTTTACGTTAGTAAGCTCGTAAAACAAGATGGCACGCTGTTTTATTGATTGTTCATTATATTTGGTTCGAGGTGGAAGGACATGCCGTTTATTCTTATGTCTAGTGTGGCGAACACTGCGGTTTACGGTTAGATAGCGAGCAAGAACTACAATCGATTTATTGGATTTTAGGAATGACCTGTTGATTAAATTTTAACGATAATCCTATAAAAATGGGTAGAATATCAAGCTTTACGAACAGATCTTCCGTAGAAAATGAGTCTGGAGCATTGGCAATTTATCACACGTCTGTTTTTGGAGCAAATGCGATTTTGTAAGATTTGTCTTTGTAGTCGCGCCCCAAACGAGGTTGCAATATTGTAGTATCAAAAATACTAGAACATTGTAAAGCAAATTTTATATTAACTGAAAGAAAAATTTTAAAGTCAGCTATTGTTTACACAGCAGACGAGAGCTTATTACCAAAATGTTGAACGTTATCGTTCCAACGTGATCGTGTTTAGAAAATTTTACGCCTAATGTGGACATCGTGTTAACAATTTTCAAATTATCTTAACCAATCGCTTCTCGGACTTTTGGCTGAGAAGTGATTAGGCAGAATATGAAAGGCCAGTAAGCGATTAGGTATAATATCAAACTTCATTTGTATAGGATATTGTAATTGCTTGCTTTTTGCGTGTAAACCGTAACTTTTGTATTGCTGGTGTTTATTCGCAAACGGTTTGCTTGAGCCCACTGCTTTAATTCTTTTTTGCGTCATGTGGCTTTGATGCTGAAGCTCCGTTTCCGATGCAGCTGTAATAAACATTGCTGTGTCTTCTCTATAAGAGATAAATTTAGTCCGTCTTGAATTGCTTGGCATACCATTTACGTGTACTATAAATTCAAGTGTCCCAAGGATACTCCCCTGCAGAACTACGACTCTCGCAGCCTGAAAACTGGGCTTTTCTTTTGCTAACTCTACATATTGCGCTCGATGCGATAAGTAAGACTCGAAGAGCTCTAAGGCAATACCATGAGTGCCATAGGCGTGTTTAGCGATCAAGATTTTGTGTTTAGAAACAAAAATGTTTAACGACTTTGATTACTTCGTACTCAACTATGGGAGAGCGCTGAGCCATATCGCTAGAAAAATCTCCCTAGAGTTGGCGATTCACAGGGTTTTAGAAAATTGTGAGAAGTCCAGCACTCTTCGCGCTATTTTAAGCATTTGGAGTATCAATACAAACACGTGTTCATGTCATTGGTTTGAAGTAGAAAACTTGCAAGACCTGGCAAATTTCTTCACGGATTTCGACATCGCTGCTGCGCACGAAGCCACACTTCCAACAGGCATGACAAACCTTTAGTTTTTTGTGCGTGTGACGTTTACATTGACAGAGAAAAGTGCTAGCAGCTTAAAAGAAACCTAGCTTGCACGGTTCTTATTTACAGGTTATTGAATATAGCGCACCACGGCTTTGCGGACGAAGCTTGTATGTATACTTGATGGCGTGGTAGTGATGGCCACAGGGATGGCGTGTCTTTACAAGATATTAAAGTCATTGTGCCAAGTTCGCTTTAAGTCACGCCAAGCTTAGCGCAATGAATCTGGTCGATCATGAAGTATTCTGGGTAACGTCGATGAGTTTCTACCTTTTCTAGGGGCAGATCTCCTAGTGTAACCTTGTCATGGGCCAGGCGTAACCGGCACTATATCTCGAACAGTTTAATAGATGGTACTGTCATCACCACTTCTCGTATCGTTTCTTAGTTGGCATTTGTCTACGTGAATGATGTGCAATAGGACGGACGGATAGATGGACTGACCGACCGTCGGACCGCATGGATGGACGGATGAACGCATGGACGGAAGGATGCACGGACGAATGAACGCATGGACGGAAGGATGCACGGACGGATGCATGGATGGACGGATGGATGCACGGGTGGACGGATGGACGCACGAACGGATGCATGGACGGACTGATGGACGCACGAACGAATGCATGGACGGACGGATGGACGCACGAACGGATGCATGGACGGACGGATGCAAGGATTGACGGACGGGTGGACGGATGCTTCGCTCCGCTCATCATTCACTCCGTGGATATGTTGTAATTTTTATTTCTGTCTAGCTTCTTCTCACTGTCTGTTTACTTCCTTTCTACTTTTTTTTCTATTCCTTTAGGTCTCTCTGTCGATTTTCTTACCTTTTTTCTCACTTTTCCTCTCTCTTTTGACGCTTTATTTTTCTTTGTTTGTATCATCTGTTCATTTTATTGTTTGTCTTCTGCGTCCACTTTCTCTAAATTCATCCCCGTTTTCATTATCAGGGGAATGAGAGTTGAGTAGCAAGTTTTGAACAATATCTGTGCTCCACACCATAATGATAGTTTTTTAGGGGGACACCGGTTTTGCCTCGAACAGCTCCAGTGTTAAGAAAAAAAAACGTGAACGAATATAATGACCAGTTTAAACGACTACTTTTACCACAGAGAGGGCTTGTAGGTCCTCATCACAGGATTCAACCAATGCCTGTCTCGGAAAGGTCGGAAGAAGACACCATTCCCCACATGATCTACAAGATCGACGCAGACGATATGCTGGATAAGACCCTAAAGACCACAGAAAGAAGTGAGTTGCTTTAAGACCCGCACTGTCAGGTTTGCACAAAGCAATATATTTTTTTGAAAGCGACAGCTGTCAGAGGTTATTCGCAGGGTTAAACTGGTGCATGCAAGAGGCCACGACAAATACAAGCAGCAAACTGAACTGACATGAAATCTGTTCATCTACACTCTTTGCACTAACTTTCAACGAAGTGTAAAATTTTTATTGGAACTGGACCTTTAAAGCTTACATGCTTCATTCGTCACATGATTTCCTAGAACGCCATGAATGCCTTCATTTTATTTTTCCGCACACGAGGAGTAAGTTCATACGAAGCCCTGTCGACGCTGTAGTTCGTTGTAGAACTTTGATACTGTAGTTTGCGCTTGAGTTTTAGAAACTTTACATTCCAGAAAAAAAAAAATACAACAATGAGAGTGCTCAGTCACTGCGCTTTACTTCTTTTTCAAAACACGTCATGTCGTTCATTGGTATCTGGTTAATGCGCGAACAAACCGGTCGCTGATTTACATTGCGATTCTTTACAATTATGCTGTTCTCACAGTTTGAGAAAAAGCAACAAAGAAAAAAATATCTACAATATATAACAATAAATAAAATTGCCCTTATAGAGCTTTGGTTTGTGCAAGTTTATGGCCAAACATTTCTGTGAGTGCAGCGCTAAGTAACACACTGAAAGATTCGCATAGTAGAAAAAAGAGGCGCTGACTATAGTCTGTATTTATTTCACCAAAGCAAATATATGCGTTATCATCGCTCTAAACTTGTTGTCACAATTACATTTTGCTAGAAGTGACAAAAGACGATGTCACTGTCAGTTCTAGCAAATCGTAATTGTCACAATGAATTACGGGTGATTATGACACACATTTGCTCTGGTGAAACACAGAATATAGTCAGCGCCCGTGTTGTGTATCATGCGTATTTGTCCGTATGTTTCTTTGCGCTGCACCTCACAAATGTCTATTATACAAAGCCTGTGCAGTGTACTTGAATACGGTTCTCGAGAAAGTGCGCTGCATACATCCGTATTTGCAAGCACCGTTTTCCCCATAGGTGATGCTATCTCGATGGCGAGCTTGTGAACGATTCTAATACAGCAACCAAATTTTTCGTGAAGTGACGACATTTCACGTGACCTCATTTAATTGTTGACTGGATATGAAGGCGTAACCATCGCTGTCACCTGTAATATTAGAAGTGTGGCGCTGCTATGCACTTTTACCTAAAGTTCCTTGATATTTTTTGGAGAGTACCACCATTCTTTTAACCGAGCCGCCACACCGTGCACCTCCCCCACATCTCGGGCCACCACTCTAGAACGGTCATGGACGTCGTGCGTGTTATCAGTGTGGCATAGTATTCTTGATAAGATAGTAGATAGTCCAGCGCCCACACGGTGGCCGTTTGGGGGAGGATATAGATAAGGTTCGGACACTTGAGAGAGCATATGGAGGAGAGTCACCAATTTTCATGTATCAAGAGATTTGCATCAAGATCCAATTTCAGACATGGATGCAAAAACAAACAAACAAACAAACTAAGAGAGGCAATAGCGCATTGATAAAGGAAAAAACAGAACAGTAGGTCCAGCCCACACGCGCCATACTTCACCTGCCCACGTTTTTCCGATAAGGCAAATGCCATTAATCTTTTTATTAACTAAACAGCGTGCAGTGATAGCTGTAGTTAATTTACAACTGTTCTTTTTATATAATATATGAAAAAAAAGAACTATAAAAATATTGTTTGAATTATGCGGTTCATACAAAACAGCGCTGAAGAACGCACATTAGCCTGGCAAAGATTGCTTAGTTTTGTAACGCAAGCAGTATATGTTGTGCTGTGGCGGGTTTTAGCGTTGGTCCTTCTGAGTATGAACATATTGCATTTCAGGTCTAGCAAAGATAAGCGAAAGGGCCTATGGACGCCCGACGCCGGTTCCTGATACCATCTATGTCGAAGTATTTATTGTTACAGGAAAGCGTCATATCGCTTATTACAAGGAAACAACGTATCTGATATGGTACGCTTGTGTCATGGTCAACTTTGTAAGTGCAAACTTTCTCATAATTTTTGTTCATCGAAAAAAAAAACGTACGACTCAAACAGCGTGTCCTCTCAATGTTTTTTGGCAGCGTTATTAAAAAGTTTTAATTCACTGGAGTTCTGGTGATGCAGTGCTTGAGCTCCAGTCTGTTTTTTCTGCTTCGTCAGTGCTTATCAGTAAGTCATGGAAGTACGAAAGGTGTTCGCCAATAAGATGTCAGCAACACAGGTCGGCAAAAATTAAGGGAGCTCACACTCACTCACAGACCACATTTTGTGTTGAGAACTCGCTCTGACTCCCTCGCCAACATTTTTTTCAAGCTGGACTCACACTCACACTTGCGAAACATTTCTTCTCTTCTTCAACCGGACTCACTTCAAACCCACCAAATCATTGCTCTGCCAGACTCAGATTTATGGTTCAATCTGAGTGAGTCGATTCACGAGTACTTCAGCCTAGAATAATGCTTATAGACCATGATGTCAATACAACATTAATATTAATATCACGTAATCAGTGCTCTTCTTGGCATTTTTATAATGTACTTTTGACTTGCTTATGAGTGCTTGTGAACCAGTAAGGCCATTTTTCTTCAAAGAGATCACAACATGATATATATATATCAAAAACTTCCGTGGAAGAGCTGTGGTGGGGAAAAAGAGGGAGGTCAAGGCTAAATTTTTAGCACCTCTGATCAATAAATATTTATAAGTTGTTTGAATGAAACTGGTTTGGAATACCTGTGAGCAGATAAGAGTATAAACGTGAATTTAAACAAGGCTGACAGTAATGTTGAAAATTACTCAGCCGTAGTTTGTTTTGGCAATCACAAAATAAACTGTATCATTTTCTCCAATTACAAATAAGCGCTGGCACTACAAAAGCCATGCCAGTGGTCATTTCAATAATGTACGTATTGTGTATGGTACTTGCGGTATATACATAGGCTAGCGCAAGTAGTTCGCAGGGTTAAAACTTGATGAAGCCGTAAAAGATTGGGCAAATTGGATATTAATAATTCGTCATCCCACAGTGGGCATAAGATATAACGATACTGATGTTGTTGTTGTTGGCACTTAGGCAAACCTGAGACTTGAAGCGATTACCAATCCTAAGGTCAAACTAGTACTCGTTGGTTTGGAAAAAGATGAGGTAAGTTCACTGCTTCAGTACAAGCTTCTAATGGTGATAGTATCACGTTTCAAAATCTATATGACACGTTCTTTTACCTCTACCAGAAAGAACCATATGCTGTCGTAACTGACGATGGATATTTGTTTGACGAATTGACAATTAAAGAATTTCAACGCTACGCCGTGAAGCGCAAGGATGACTTTGGTCGGCCGGACACAGTATTTCTACTGTCAGGGTACTGCGTGTTTGAGCACGCTATATTGTTGCACGTTATATTGCGCCATCGTATATCTTGCACATTTCCGTATATACATTCCCCTCCTCCCTAAAAATGCAGATACGATGTGATCACTGTACATGAAGGTCGACTTACTGAAGCTGGGTTAGGTAAGTATTCTTTAGATGCTGCTTATTGATTTATTTTTAATGTACCTCGCGAATTAAAAAATGAAAATTGGAAATGGATGTTCAAAAGAAGCTGAAATATTAAAATGTCGACTTCGGAGTAGATGACCACAGTTTGGTTACTGCCGAGTTCGACCAATGTGAGAGTCTCAAAAAAGTGAATGCAAGCAGCGTTTTTTTTTTTTTGATAAAAAGAAAGAAATAAAGAACAGTGGCTGCCGTGGCTCGGTTACTTGAAATGCTGATTGAACGAGGTGATGTCATCTTAAATATGCCCAATTCTTGGCGCCGCGCTGCCAAAGAGTGGCCTTCGAGATTGGCTCCGGCAGCACACGGGCAGCCGGAGGCATTCACGGAGATCATGGGTGACGATATGAAATACGCTTGTTCACGCTGGGCTCGGCTGTTTGTTGGACGGTATGGAGTGAAGTTGTATTCCTTCTGCAAAACATTCAACGCAAGAATGTCTACTTTAGCCCCCTATTCATAAACGGCACCCTCGCAGTTCCGCTTAGTGAGCAGCGGGAACCTTCTATCGGAGTGCAAGCGGCTCCGTCAAAGGTACCTATGATGACGTAGTTCCTGTTCGTTTCTAGAGCTACATTTTCGACACGTTAGCGTGAGTGGAACAGGACAAGCTTTCTTGTACTTTTAAATTCCTGCTGCATCAACTGCAGACAAATGTATGGCACTCAGGCATTAAATTTTCTTGTCAGGCAAGAATTTTTACTCCATTATTATCCACTCCAGCTTCCTTTTAATGAAAAAAGGAACATTTTGATATAGAAGAAATACATCATGCCACAGCATACAACTTAAATGAAGAATTCAACTAGACAAATTACACCAGCAAAATAAAAACGACAGCTGGATTAGACTTATCAGACATACGAGGAAAAAGATTCTTTTCAATGGCTGAAGATGTAACGTAGTTATTATGCATCTCGTAATAAAGGTCACTAGAAATCGATAGTACGAAATAGCTATGCCTTTTGAGGAAAATTAGCTGCATGTCGTCAAAAGAGTTGGAAAAAATAGGTTTTGTTTACAGGATATTCAGAAGGCTCACTTTTCTTAACGCTTAGGTTGACCCGTTATTTCATGCACCCTTCGGACACTTATAAGAGGACATTGCTGAGTACCCTGTGATCTGAAAGTTAATTTATTTCAAAATGATACAGTCGTTGGCGAAAAGCTTCATGTTTGTTCCAATGAATTAGGGCAAATCATTAATAAAAACTAAGAATAGAATAGTAGGTCAGACACTGCCCTGCGCCACTCCAAATGCAAGTTACGTTAGTTCCGACGCTTGCTCGTTATTCGTGCTCGTTCACCAGTCGTACGATTGGTCAGATTGCGCTAATTATTCGTGTGGTTGGTCCATTATCTACTGTTGTTCACCATTTTTATTAGCTTTTGACGCGAAACCCGGACTAATGCATTTGAAAAGTCTAGTGGAATAAGGTCGACCTGCGTTTGATGCTCAATGACTGATTAGTTATGTGTTTAACCCTTTAATGCTTCAGTTATGAAACTCAACGATATCGGGCAATAGTTAGTGACGTAGACTTCACTACTCAATTTGTGGATTGGTAGGACCTGTGGAGTTTTCCTGCCATCGGGCAGCGAGCATTTCGTAAAGGACATAAACAAATTTTTGGTTATGAATTCGGCGTAACAGGTGAGAAACTCGCTGTATATTAATAGGCGCCCATTTTTTCTTGAGCTTTGTTTTTAGTGAAAGGTCAAACATACCCGCCTCGTTTATGCGGATAAGTTCAATGTGGTTGACCCTATTAATTTGGAAGAGGTCATGGCGTTGTCTGTAGCAAAAACTGAATGAAAGCAGTAGTTGAATAGTTTGGTATCTGCTTTCTCTGAAGACATTGTGTTATCTTTTATATAAATATAAGTTTAAATAGTTCTAAAATGAAGACTAATTACTCAATAGAACCGATTCTTGCGTGATCGAATATTGCACGATTTGTGAAAGACAACTCGATAGAGGAAGACTCAATCTTTTTATGCCGTAATTTGTGTTAATCTCCACCCTTACCCTGACTGCATACATGAATGGATGAGCCGGAAAATGTCCGAACTTGGGTTTTTATTGCGGCTTAAAAGGACAAGTGAGGCTAGCAGTTAGGAAAGCGACACTAACTCGGTCTTATTGAATTATAGCTTCATTCTCCCGAAAGCAAACACGGTCAACCAAGTTTCTTTTAATTTTTTTTTCTTGTGGAAGGGAGATCCAGCGCTACTATACAGTACACTTCAGTAGGCGCTCTATGACGTCCTCATGTAACAATTAAGACGTCACAAAGAAACTGCTCCGTCTTTATGTTCAGTCGTGTGAGTGCACTCCAGTGCTACAGTATGTCAGTTATAGCAGAAGGGCTGAAAAGTGGGCCAGTTGGCATAAGTTTGTACAGAAATGTTGGCAGCGCAAACTAACGGAACGCAAAGCGAAAAAAAAAAGAAGCGCAGACTGAAAACTGTGGTTTATTCAGAGAAGATAACATGAGTACGAATGTATGTCAGTTATTACGAAGTGACAGCTGGCCGACCAAATCACCGATCGCAGATGCCTCGTACTTGGTATGTAAGCATTTGATCCGACATCGGGTGTTTCTGGTTTAACAACATAAAGCTTTTAAAACATAAGGGCAGCTGATATCGAATTTTATTAGGTATGCCAAATATAAGAAAGACGTAACCAAAATATTACCGCATTCAAAGACTAGCCAATTGTTCTTCGATTCATGTATACTATTTACTTCGCTAGCATGCGTGTAACTTCAATGTGGCTATCACGGCCTCAAGCTTCTGCGGCTTTTGAAAACTATTTTCAGCAACAGTGACATGTTTTGTGGTTGACAAAGCCGATTCGTTTCAGGAATCGGCTTTCTATCGGGAATTTGTACTAATGCCTACGTAGCACTCGGAGAAGACAAACCGGGACTGTTCACCGGCGCACACACATTCACCCATGAGCTTGCTCATCTGTAAGTTTAAGCTCAAGCAACATGAAAGCAAAAATATAAAATCTTGTAATCGAATTGACTGTGCTGGCTAGTCCCTTGTCTAATGGCACCCTCGAATAACGTAATCATGATGTAATTAAGATAGGCTAATAAAATAAGATAACAATAATAAGATAAGATAACGTAATCAGGATAAGCAATTATCAAACAAACCACACGCACGTGGCAATATACCGTACATGGTGGATCAACGATTCGTCATAGAGTCACTCTCGAATGACACTTAAACGAAGACCAGTCCTCCCACTTGCCGCACACTATCTTTGTATTGCGCGCGCACGCACGAACGCGCAAACAGGTGTAAAAAAATGAAATTGTTGCGAATGCCTCATTTCTCTGTAAGACCCTACCACATGAACCGAGCAGACGAATGGACCAATGAAAGCGTAATGACATACTTTTTACCTTCATCTATACTGCTTTAATTGGGCAGTAAATTGAAACTTACGTCACAATTCACGTCATAAATGCTACATTATAATCATTGGCCAAACTTTAGTTTACAGTTGAGAAACTGGCTTTGTAGGAAGCTCTAAAGTTGTACGGGCAATAGACTAATGTAGCTAATGCCGTTTTATATCGTGGAAATACTGGTCGCCTAATCTGCCGGATAGGTTCACGAGTGTTTAAATTTCAACTCCAGTCTTCTTCCTCCTGCATTATGTGCATGCTCAAGCCTCGGAGCAAGCCACGACGGAGAAGATGCGAAGTCGGACGTGCCCGGGCATCCGAGCGCTACGACATGCCCGTGGAAGCAAGGTTTCATCATGAGCTACGTCAACAATGGCCTTCACATCATCAATTCTCTCACTGCAGCGTGACGCAGATAAGACACGTGCTGACGTGAGTACGCTAAAACGTTAAACACAATTAAAACGTGGTTTTCTCGAGGAGCGAGGGTATTATTTTACGTACTCCCGCTGTTCTATATAACATCCAGAATAAGCAGACCAGAACTTAGACACACTCAGAGCTCTGAAAAATGCGTGTCACTGAGCTATAGGAATCAAATGAAGGTTTCATTGAGCATCCGTTATTGTCAGCGGAATCACAATAACCTGGTTTGGTACCTGGTTCGGTCACCACTCTGCTTCAGGATTTTTTATAATTTGTTTATTTGAATTATTCTAAATTTTTCAGCGACACGAGTCATTCGACGCTACCGCAATATAACAATCCAGGGAAACTAGAAAGGAACGGGTTGACAACAATCACCAATAGGGGCAGAACACCCACCTGCCTTTCGCAACGGTGGAAACTCGTAGTAATAGAAAATAGGGAAGCGAGCAAACAACACAGAAGTGGACCAAAATAAGTACCAGTAACACGAAGAAGAAATGCCTGTAACGCGAGGTCAAATAACTTTTGTTGGTGAAAGTTAGCAGGACTCCTTGCGCTTTGTGAGGCCGAGCAGAGCATCCTCCAGGATACTGGTAATCATCAAAAGGGGCACAGTTTAGTCAAATGAGTGCCTGTTTCTTGAGCAGATTCATATTAAAGAAACCTGATGAAAAAGTGAATGCTGTGACGCGGAAGGGCTGGTCACGGTAATCGGCCACGAATTCGAATGATTCCGCTGCTTATTGGTTATAAACAGCTGCTGCAGAGCAGATGAAATGATGCGACACAAAATTTAAAGTTTGCTTCCGTAAAAAATTCTCGATATAATAGTTGTAAAAATTATAGAGCACCTTTTGAAACTTTGCAGCTTCATTTTAAATATTTTTATTCGGTGAGTGGGAGCTGCTTCGAACTTGTATATGTATCTAAATGACTTTTTCTGTGTGCTTTTGTTCATTGCAGTTACAGGGGGCCAACATGCTGGGCTTTCAATGGAAGCGGCTACTCTATGAAGGGCACGTATCCGGGGATGGTGGTTTCGTTCGAGCAATTCTGCATGGGCCTCCTAAGTAACAAAGCAAACACCACGATTAGGAATGTCACAGTAAGAGCAGATTTTTTTTTTCTTGGCAGGGATGCAGAGGGTGTGCTCAAATACTTTAGTACATAAGTTTGCTTAAGGAGGCTGTTGCTTTGGCTCATCTTTATCTTCACACGATAATACTTTCGAATGTTTTATCATAAGAAATGAAAAAGAAAAGTGAATGGTCAAATACATAAGCAAAACGGGACCACTATAACAAATTTTAATACAAACAACAACAATGCCGGTGCCAGTGCAACACACTTGTTTTAGGAACTGTTCGCAAATCGTAACCACAATGAGGAATAGCTCTCATTCGTTAAATTTGAGCTATATGACACTTCTGATTTGTCTAAGAATTGTGCTATCGATCTTGAGGCTATGTGTCACATTTCTTCCAGCGACCACGGGCTTAATAATAGTGTGAGCCCGTACAAACAAAATATGTAGCTTTGCGGAAAACATTTTGCAGGGAGGGTCACATTAAAGCGGACTAGAATAGAGTAGAGCTGTGTATCCGTGCCACGCATGCACGTCAGTTTTGTCAAAGGGTAAGCTTTATCCTAGGCTGGAGATTGTACCTCATTCGCTCTACTGTATTCCCTTAAAACATGGCTCTCATCTCTTTCAAGGTGGAAATAGCGACGTGTAAAGTGGTGTGCACGTACACGAGGCGCATATATAGCCTTTATGACGAAAGCGGATATCAGAGGATGTTCCAAATGAAAGACGATGCTCTCGACTACATGCCGTGCGGGAATTACGAGGTAATAAGTCATTCTGTCAAGTCATATATGTTTCGTTATGCGAACTTTCTCCTTGTGAGAGCAGTCTTAAAAGACACTAACCCCCGTATTCTAGAATGTCCCTTAACACAACGCTCCACCTTCACTTGAGAAAGCCGATGGGAGCGCCGTCTCTAGGCACTGCAGGTCACTGCATATCAGCGATAATCTGCTGCGATTTTTGAGTAGCGCAGCGTCATACTCAACCGAGCGGTGGCGCAGTGCTCAACTATGTCAAGTGAAGTGTGAAAGTCGAGTCGAGGAGCGTTTGTGAATACGGGGGTTACAGACAAACGAGTGTCACATCAGCAATTATTGTTACACAGTAGCAAAGTTCCCAGGCTTGCCGTGAGAGCGTGCTTGGTGAGCGATGAAACGCGCTGAAGGAAAATGCTGGTGGCGACACGAAGTTGAAGTTTCCGCGCCGAACGCCACGACTTCATAAATTTTCATTACATTTTCGTGGTGTCTATTAAGACCTATGTAGTTCATAATCAGCGAAATTCAAGTACATGGTCCTCTGGGAGGAAGATAGACTTATTAAGTTTCAGGAAATTAAGGTGAGGTAATGTCGCCAAAATACAAAAAACAGTGAAATCTGCGGCTTCACGCATACAAATTTTGGCCCCAAGCATGCTCATGTGTTCTAACTGGTAATTCCGTGCTGTAAAATTTCTGCATCATTTGTTCAATGCCCATGGAAATCTGATGCAAAGCTTCACAAGTACTAGACATTTATCGACTCCATTTACAGGTTGTGAATCATCAGCCTTTTCACAGTATCTTGTTTCAGTCCTTCAATCATTGCTAAATTATTCTCACGCCCCGAACAAATATCCCGGACTGCGGTCTCTTCCTTAAAAGTATGCTCCACAAAACCAGTTCCTGTAGTTAATAGTATAAGCTGCACTTTATACTATTTTTCAATAGGTTTTCACATCTTTGACGATTGTAATAAAGGGTATCTTAAGATGTTGATTCGTGGCATTCTCGCTTTCCTCTGTGCAAATTAAGGTTTATTTTTTTCCTTGTTAGACACATTATAGATAACTAGCAGATGACGCTAAGGAAAATGTGGGACGTTAATAAAAGTACTTGTCAATGTTAACAAAAAAAAAGTGGCAGGAAAGATGGGACCAAATCTACGACCTTCGAATAACGCGTCCGATGTTCGACCACTGAGCTACAGTGGCATTCTACTTTATTAAATATATATGGTAGGTTAAACGGGGGCCGGAGTGCCTGTCAGCGCCAGCTGTGATCAGAGGGTGTGAAATTTGTGAAATAAAAAAAAAGGACTGTACTGTTAAACATTAACTTGAGACACTTGACGCTAACTTATGAAGCTTGCACAAATTGCAATATACGCAAGGCTTGCAGTTATAACCAGAGTTTGATAAACAGAACCACTGAACCAACAGATAAGTTATGTTAGCGTAGATCATTTGTGGCTGTTCGAGGAGTAGGGATGGCGGAATAAAGGGAAGTAAAAGCGGACAACATAACCATTTACGGTCAGTGAGGACTAAACCCAGAACCTCCGCGTGATTCGGTGTGTCATTGTACTTGCTTTGTTTCGTTCCATTTTTTAAAGGGACTTCTGGTATTTTCTGGCGCAAGCAGTTCATAGTTCCTTACTTTTCCAGGTGTGCATTCAAGGTTACTGTGTACCAAAGCCAACAGACGTGACAGATGCATCGAAAGTTTCCGATAATGTTACGCCAACTACTACTACTACTACTACTACTACTCAAGGCACAACCGAAGAGTCGGGGACAGATAGTTCTTTCGGAACGTCAACTGAATGTAAATGTGATTGCCTCAGCACAACAGGCACTACCCCCACAGGCAGTACCCCAACACGCACAGCCACAACACGCACAGCCACAACACTCACGCCATCAAGCAAGAGACCCAGATTTTTCAAACATAGACCATGGAGCCAGGTTAAGTATGTCTGAGGAAATAATGAAAACAATCTTCCAATAAAGCCTATTGCGTTCTCAAACTGTGATTGAAAGTATGACTAAATGTTGGATTAAATGTATTAGCTATGCTTCACCTTCGAGACACCATAATGCATGATTTTTATCGTCACCCACCATGGAAACCTAAAACGTTAGGTTTTCTGCTTCTAAGCTCGACGAGAGCGAATGCAATGTACAACCATGTGTCCAGTTCGGCGAATCAGAGGCTAGAGAGCCCGGCTGCAGAGCCAGAGATCGTGGGATCAATCCTGGCGGCAGCAGTTACATTTCAAGGGTGCACTTCGATTGATATGTGGGGTTTAACGTCCCAAAACCACCATACGATTATGAGGGACGCCGTAGTGGAGGGCTCCGGAAATTTCGACAACCTGGGGTTCTTTAAGGTGCACCCGAATCTGAGCACACGTGCCTACAACATTTCCGCCTCCATCGGAAATGCAGCCGCCATAGCCTGGATTCGATCCCGTGACCTGCGGGTCAGCAGCGGAGTACCTTAGCCACTAGACCACAGCGGCAGGGCAATTTGAGTGCGGTTCAAACAACCCCAGGTGGCTGAAAATAATGCGGAGTCACCCACTTAGGAGTGATTCATAATCTTATCGGGGTTTCGGCGCGTACGTAAAATTCCAGAGATGATTGTTATTGACATACCGGCGTGCTCCTTCACAACCTTCCTCATCATTATCAAGACCTTTTCTCTCTTCTTTCCCTTCCCATTTTCCTTCCTAATGCCGAGTAGCAGGCTATAAAGTCGATTCAGGATGACCTCCCAGCTTTTCTGCCACGATAAACATCTCTCCCTCTTCGTCACCACAGGGGCCATGTTTCAGCGGCTAAAGGCGTTAAACCTATTATCCTTGGTGCAAGCTGCGCCTTGGGTGTGTCGCGAGATTAAGGAGGGCTATCAGTTATTACAATCAAATTGCCTGCAGCATGCAAATGACCCTGTAAAATATTGAGCTCATGCAATTAATAGTTATTGCGCTGTAACATGATGTCGCACACAAAAATAATAAACTAACGTGTCTCGAAATGAACAGGTTCCGAGGAATTGTGACCATGATTGTAGCTTTTGTTGTACACTTATCATGGACGTTTTTGGTTTGCTGTGCATAAGTCTGTCTTGTAAAGAGTCCACTCTGTGCCGTTTTGGGTGTTCTGTGCAGTTCAGCATCAAAATCATGAATCATGTCAATTCAACATTTGTTCTCAGGTATTTGGTTATGTCTTAGCTGCTAATCTTTTAAAATTAAAAAAAAAGCATATGGCCTTGATTTAAGGCGCAGAACATGATTGAGATTCCATGCGAGTCTGCAATTATTTATCAAGTTCTGTCTTACAGTGTGAAAACTGCGAAAGCATTTAACCCTGATACTGTTGGTAATGATGTGTGGCGCTTTGTGGCGCAAGGGCCAATTGATGGCGAAAGAGCGCCATTTCGATGAGTAGAGATGAGACATTGATATGTTGCGTGGCTGTATAGGGGCCTTGAAATTCCTCGCGATAATGCGGGTAAAAACATAAGTATTAAGATCATGACAGTGGCGTGATATACATATTAAAAGGGGTGACAAAGGTTTTGATAATAAAAACATGTAAAAGTATTTGGCACTAGCACACGTGCCTCATCAGCGCCCTTGTGTCCAAGGGCTGCGAGGCAAGTGCTTTTAAATGTAATCACTGCAGCAGCAACCTCTCTTGAGAGGTCACGCTACGATATGCCTGGGTATATTACATAGTAAAAATTGACATCTCTTAAAAAAGCTAACAATGATTTATGGGTGAAATGTGGTTCCCTACCGACAAACATTGCGGGGTGTAACGGTATATGTTGTCGGTAGGGTAATGGAAAGTGTTGTCTTTTTAGAGTGTCTAATTGTTTACATTGGATTAAAACGTGAAGAACTGTCAATGCCTCGCCACATTTGTCACACAATGGTGGATCGCCACCGGACAAAAGATGTGTGTGTGTTGTGTATGTGTGTCCTATCCTGAGTCTTGTTAGTGTTACCTCTGTTAGACGCGATTTTGGTACTGGTGGCCAATGGCCAAGGTGTGGCTTGATAACGTGTAGCTTGTTTTGTGCGTGTCTATCCCACTTGCTCTGCCAGTAGTCCCTGAGCTTTCGTTTGAGAGACGGCTTAAGATCAAGGGGCGGGATTGATATGGGTATAGTGGCACTGATTTCGTGGACGGATGCAGCAAGCTGATCCGCCATCACGTTGCCTTGGATCTCATGGTGCCCTGGCACCCAGCACACTACAACATGTTGGTTGAGTGTGTAGAGTGTGCATAAAATGGAGTAAAGTGAGACGAGGACAGGGTTTTTTTTTGTTTTTTAAGACTGTGCAGAGCCGTTACCACACTGAGAGAGTCTGTATAAATTACTGCCTTTGTATTTGTAATTGTTTGATGTGTTTAGCTACAAGTGTCGCGTAAGCTTCCGCTGTGAAGATACTTGTGCCTGGATGTAGAGGGCCAGCATCCGAAAAGGGCCAACAGCAGCGTAGGACACAGAGGAGTTGGACTTAGAGGCATCTGTAAAGATTGATTGATTTGTTGGACTTAACGTCCCAAAACCACTATTTGATTATGAGAGACGCCGTAGTGGAGGGCTCCGGAAATTTCGACCACCTGGGGTTCTTTAACGTGCACCCAAATCTGAGTACACGGGCCTACAACATTTCCGCCTCCATCGGAAATGCAGCCGCCACAGCCGGGATTTGATCCCGCGACCTGCGGGTCAGCAGCCGAGTACCTTAGCCACTAGACCACCGTGGCGGGGCAAAGAGGCAGGCATCTGTAAAGAACTCAGGACGTGTGTACTTGTGTTGAAGTTCCAGGAAGTATGTTCGGATACGGGCAATAGGCGCATGTTTTGTAACTTCTACAAAAGACACATCGCAGTCTATAGTCTGCCACTGCCACGGTGGCGGGTATGCTACAGGAGCCATTAAACTGTGTTCTAGTGACACTCCAGTGTCCTTAGCTAGACCCTTCAGGCGAACTGAGAAGGGCTGCCTCATCGAAGGCCTGTTTTGAAACAGAATGGAGCTCGACAAATCAATAATAGTAGAGTATGAGGGGTGCTTCTTGTCTGCTTTCACCTTAAGAAAATAAACAAAGGACATGTAAGTTCTTTGCAGATGAAGCGACCACTCATTTGACTCAACGTAAAGGCTTTCTACGGGGCTGGTGCGAAAAGCACCCGTAGAAAGGCGGATGCCCAAATGGTGCACGGGGTCCAGCATCTTCAAAGCACTTCGAGTCGCAGACTGATAGACAACGGCCCCATAATCTAAGCGGGTGCGAATGAGGCTTCTATACAAATTCATGAAACATTGCCTGTCACTACCCCAAGTAGTACGTGACAACACTTTTAAAACATTCATGGCTTTTAAACATTTTGTTTTTAAATACTTGACGTGCGGTACGAAGGTCAACTTGTTGTCCAAGATTAGGCCTAAGAATTTATGCTCCGCATTTACGGACAGACGTTGACCGTTCAGTTCAATATCGGGTTCTGAGTGCATGCCTTTCTTTCGGGAGAACAAGACACACGTGCTTTTTTGTGGGTTCAGTCGGAATCCGTTTTCCTCTGCCCATTTGGAGACCTTGTTTAAACCTAACTGAACCTGCCACTCACACATTGCCAAGTTGCATGACTTGAAGCCAAGCTGAACGTCGTCGACATATGTACAATAGAACATATTGCGAGGGATGGACAGGTGCAAGGAATTCATTTTGATAATAAAAAGTGTACAACTAAGTACACCACCTTGCGGCACGCCTGTTTCCTGGACAAATGTTTGGGAGAGAACACTGCCCACACTGACACGGAATGTCCGATTGGACAAGTAACTCTCGATTATGAAAAATATTCTACCGCGGACGCCAAGGTAGGACAGGTCTCTTAGAATTCCAAAGCGCCATGTTGTATCATAAGCCTTTTCGATATCGAGAAACACAGAAAGAAAGTATTGTTTATGGACGAAGGCGTCTCTCGTCTGTGCCTCGATACGAACAAGGTGGTCTGTGGTGGATCTACTTTCTTGAAACCCGCACTGAAATGGGTCGAGCAAATTGTTTGTTTCAAGGATATGTACAAGTCGGCAGTTTATCATTTTTTCGAAGACTTTGCAGAAGCAGCTTGCAAGTGCAATAGGCCTATAACTCGAAGCTAAAGAAGGGTCCTTGCCCTCTTTCAAAATGGGAATAATGATAGCCTCTTTCCAGGAGGTAGGGATAGTGCCAGAAAACCAAATAGCATTGTACAAATAAAGTAAGGTTTTCCGCGTTTCGATTGGTAGGTTTTTTAACATTTCATACATCACATGGTCAGAACCTGGGGCAGAAGTACCGCAGGAGTTTAGAGATGTTCGGAGCTCAGCTAAACTGAAAGCCTGGTTGTATGCCTCGTTTCTAGTGCACTTGTGTTCGAGTTTCAGCTTTTCTATTCTTATTCTGTATTTTTGGAAAGTGTCAGTATAGTGGGACGGGCTGGACACCCGGTCGAAGTGTGCACCGAGGAAGTTTGCCTGATCTTCCAAGGTATCACCCTGAGTGTTTACGAGTGGAAGTGTGTGTACTTGTTTTCCTGCTATCCTACCAACCATGTTCCAGACTTTAGCCTCCTGTGTGTATGAATTGATCCCTGACAAAATATTTTGCCAGCTTTCTCTTCTGGCCTGCCGACGCGTTCTCCTGCCTTGAGTCTTTATTTTCTTGAAGGTGTCAAGATTTTCAGCTGTCGGTGAGTTCCGAAGCAACCTCCATGCCTTATTCTGCTCATTTCACGCATTACGACACTCAGTGTTCCACCATGGGACGTGTCGCTTGCGGGGCTGTCCAGATGTTTGTGGGATGCATTTGGCTGCTGTGTTGATAAGGAGAGCTGTGAAGTACTGCACAGCTTCATCTATGCTTAGCGTATTCAGTCCAAGATAAGTGAGCTTTGTTATGAAACTGTTTCCAGTCGGCTTTGTGTATAAGCCATTTGGGAACTCGTGGAGGATATTCGTATGAT